AACTCTCTTTTCCATAGACAGTTTCTTTTCTCTTCATAGCGCCATTGAGCAATATCTTTTGGAAATAGGCATAATCAATTATTAATTTCATCTTTGTCATTTAAATGATCGTGGAAGTTTGCGTTGCTGATACATGATGTGAAATTTCATTTTGACTAAAAAGGTATTGTGTCTTCATTGTGATTAGATGTTGCGTTCAGATGCAGTGCGACGGCAGTGTAAATGGACACCTCAACCATAGTCACATTCAAATAATTAGTTCCCATGTTTTTGTCGGTGGTGTATATTAGATGGAACACAATAAGGGCGTGGAGAAGATCGCCACTTCATAGTATTAGCACATGTCGGGAGAGGCAGTGGTAAATACGTCATGTTGTAACCTCTCCATCGCCAAAACTGTCGACTCTCGTCGACCTGTGTTCTGTTATTCGAATACGTTGTCTCTGGAACCCACACGTTTGAGGCTGAGCAAATGTTGTTCCGGTCTTCGTGAAGTTCCATGTGTTGGTGGTACTGGGACGTATACGACTGGGATGTGATCGAATTACCCATATATCACAGCCAAGGGGCTGGACACATCTACGACAGAGTTGGATTCATGACAAAACAATGCCATACGGCCCCCAATAGAAATCCGTAGCTTTCGGTATAGGAAACCTGTCTGTCTGTCAACTGTCTGACGGTCAAGGTCACTGAATCTTGGGAAATCCCATAATAATGGCATTGGCACAACTAACTTGACACCTACGCCGTCATACGGTCATTCAGCAGTTATTCTCTTTTATAAAAAACTAACATTTTGATTTCCTCACAATTATCTATGTATGCAGTGTTACTGAGTAGAATGAGAGTTAATATTCCATATGCTGCACTTTTCCGCCAATTATGACAACCAGTAACTGCTCGAGATTGGGTAAGGAATAACTGTGGTACAATAATAGACAACGCCCCACCACAGGTGTTCATGATGTCATGAGATACTGTGGAACTTTCCTAAGTCAGGACACAACTGACAAAGCAGGCAACATTCCAATAAAACTTTAATCACAAATTGCGTACATATTACTAAATTACTAATGGATTAAAGAGCATCCAAAACTCGACACTGTCTACAAAACTACCTGACAGGCAAGATCTCTGTAGTGAAGGTATCCATGAACAAAACGTCTGAAACTCTATTTATTCTGGCTGACAGAAATTTCTTATAGCTGGGGCAGACATCTTATGATTGAGCAGAGAGAGAAAGCATAATTCATTTATATGCTAATCATTTGCATTTGAGTTACCGGTAGTTAAGCTGAACGAGATTCCAATATGCTATTATTAGGTGGATTGAAGATTCTAGAAAGACGAGTTTAACAAGACTATCTGTCCATTGCTGTATCTGAGCATTCCAGTAATCCATGTATAGGAATGAGACGACAGTAATAGCGAGGACCCGGACAGATGAAGCACCTTATGAGTGACCTTAATTACACAACACTGACAGTGAAACATAGAAATGGATGAAAAAACTGGCATTGCTTTGATGTACCACACAATTTACAATAATGCAGTTTGAAAAATTGATGAATCTTTTAAGTTCTAGAAATTTTCTTTGGAAAACTGGATTTGTTATCAAAGACTGTGAAATGATTTTATTTTTGAACTGGTGTTTTAGAGATAACATTCTGATGTTGCGAAAGAATTATCATGGAATCAATGCTGACTTGCCACTTATGGCTATTAGAAATATCATAGTAATGCAATACAACATCAAGTTTGATTCTTCAGGCCATATCATTTACAACCAATCTTAAATATTAGATAACATCCATCACAAAACATTTTATACACCAACATAGTTATCACAATGTTTATCAAACAAGAACAAATGCTTAACAAATTGGTTTACAGCACAACGTCTGAGACAAAAAAGAGTAACATAGAGATAAAAATATCAGAAAAAAACAGAACCAGAAGTCACAACCTTCTCCCAAAATAGGTGTTCTCTGGTCTTAAAAGTGAAAACAAACAAATCCCATTGCTCCAACATCATATACCTTAAGAATGTCAACACAAATATAATGGGATACCGGTATTAGACGTTTCTCCAAGACAGACCAGGGGAAACTATAACTCATCTGCTGGACATGTGTTTTGCTGGCTGAAGAGATCAGTTTAATATCATTACGAAATGTTTAATGTTTGGAATCCATACATCTATCGCCTCTTTGGGAAGTTCAAATAGGTTGATTAAAACAAGTATCTAATAAAATTACGTGTTAAAATCATCTGACAAATGATACAACCACTGAATAGACATTAAAATCCTTCTCATACACAGGTAGTAAAATGATTTGAAAATAGGATGGAAGATTTTCATGTACCCTGATGTGTAAAAGAACTTCAGGCAGATTCTTTTTCAGTCTCAGTGCTTTTCATAATAATTCTATGAGATATAAGATAATTACAATCAATAAATTGGAGCCATGTGATTGGCTTGTTGCATACTTGTAAAACCCAATGAGCTAACTAAACACTGTGAGTTCCTACTGCTGGTTGTGAAATGACTACTGTTCCATGCTACAGCTGATTTAGCAGTGCCATCTGGAGGATGTGTTGGGACAAGATGCATCTGCGACAGCAATGTTTGATTTATTACATCTCTCCAGCAGGAGTATAAAGAAGCCTGCCATCTCTGTTACACCCTGCTTCTTGAGAATGATTATTGCTTCATCCTGCACAAGCTACCTTGCAAATAATTCTTGTATGTACACGTAGAAGTACTTAATATAAAGGTGACGTTCAGGTCAGTCTTGGTCATATCCACACGCTAGATTAAAAGCACTAAATAGCAAGGTATTTTTAACATAATAATGTAATAAAAATGAAAGACTGAAAAGAGCTAAAAATGTACAAACTATAAATACTTGATTAAATGTTTACACTGCATCAAATATGAATAATAAAACAGATGAAATAAATACCTTGGAATATTGTGTGCCTGGAAATCCACGCAGGAAAGTTTGAAAGTGAATCGACAATCTAATGCAAAGGGAATACAAGGAACAAGACTTACAATCGACAAATAGGAAGTGCAATGATTTGACAATTACAATGATAATGAGTTAAAGCTTGGCACTACATGTTACTGATTGACGATTAAAATGGTTAATAATGCTTCTTCATGCTTTATGCATGTTGCCTTGAACAACAAATGATACACATAATCTCATGACATACATGATACCAACCTCATGGTTAATATGAAGAATGAACATTGTATGCAAAAGAATTATTAAGCAAAATGACTCTTGACAGTACCTGAACTCTGTGATCGTTGTTACATAATTCTATCAAGCACCTGCTCTTTATGCCATTTGACATTCATTGAAACATAGGAAGCTCTGGACAATTGACAGGGTAGAATATATGGAAAAAACTGGCTACTTGAAATTAAAAACCTGTATTCAAAATATTTTAAACTTTTTTCAATCAAACAAATGAGCCAAGATTTTCCATAAGACATTTATGGAGAAGAAACACATATCAAAAACAACCAGTGTCTAGGCAGAACTAAAACATGCAAAAACATGCTAAAACATCCAGTTCCAACAGTGATCTTCAATACCACAAGACACAAACAAGAAACCCACTCATCAAATAGAAAATGTGTAAAAGTTAAAAGAAGCCAATTTTGCATGATCTTATTTGAAATAAGACCTAAATTATATTATGACTGATATCACAATAATTTTAAAAAGCCCATATATTTGATTTTGAACTAACATTACCAAATATATATGTGCTTTTGTGCACTTATAATCTGACAGAATTGTCTACAAACAATGACAGATATATTCTGACTTAAAAAACCCACCTTGAGGCACTTTTACTGTAAACTTTTGTGTGTCTTACACATTTCTATTCTATTGTAAAGATGACATTCCCAGAGAAACCACTCAGTAAATAACATGTATATGAATGTACCATTACAGAAATATATATATGTCCTTAATATTTGACACCAGTAAGAAACCACTGAAGGGACACATCATACTAATTCAGTTCAGCCATATTGAGTGAATGCCTCCTTGCTTGTTTCATCATTGTTTGTCTAATTTCTTCATACAGACATACTGTCTTACAAACTTTACTCAAATTTTTCCAGAACTTCATCAAGATGATATGTCCCTAGATTCACCATGCAACTTTTGGTAACATTGTTCAATGACGGATATATTTGCAAACATATTAATATCAAGTTAGAACATAAGTGAATTCAAAAGATTCTAAAACAGAGATCTGTGAAGCCCCTAAGGAGCTTGTCAAGATGAGAGTTGTGACAACCTTTAGATGAAACCTGCAGCAACAACATGTATCAGTTTGTTTGGTCCTTGCATTAACTACAGTCTGCACTTCTCTGGAGTATGAACTCAATGAGGGGCAAGAGGTAAACCTGGAACATGTCTGCATAACAAACAAGTTGTAATCCTTCATCTTCCTTTTCATACTGTGTGTTTAGTGTTCCACTCGCTGATAGCTGTGTGGGGAAGTCTTATGAGACTGGAACCAGAAAAGTGCAAGACTGTAGTCAATATGTTCCTCAGCATTGTCTTTAATGAGTGAAATGCTCCTGCTTCCCACCCTCCTCCTCCATCTACCAGTGCCATGTCTTCACTGCTTCCCACCCTCCTCTTTCATCTACCAGTGCCATGTCTTCACTGCTTCCCACCCTCCTCCTCCATCTACCAGTGCCATGTCTTCACTGAACATATTGCATGCAACACAATGAGACCACATGTCGTGACCAGGTCATATGCTAAAAGTGCTTACCACAATCCCACAGTGAGAACACTCCCTTGTTAAACCCTTGTGATTCCATAACTACCAAACCAGGTTATTCTTGTGACTTGATTACATGAAAAATATCAAAAACACAATATAGGAACATTTCAGACATCAGATTTGCTCCTCATGAATAAAACTATGATGTAAGTGTTGGGGGTTTACTTCTGTTGCAGTTTTGACAGTTTGTGAAGTTATACCTTAGTAAAGGATGCCGATATACGGCACCCTGACAGGTATGCCAGATTTTCCAGGCTGTGGGTAACTCATTCCCTTCAGCATTAGCAGAAATAACACACCCATGGAAGATCAACCTAACGTAAGCCATAGCAACAAATGCTCCCATTCCATCAGCAAAGGAAATATAACAGAACCCAGTTTCCTAAACATTTAACTACTATCAATCATGTCTCAATGAAATACCATGGCTTTGTTTCATCTAAGTCATCAGTAAATGTTTATTTTGTCATGTTATCTAAGTACATAAAAGCCATGCTGAGCCAAATATATCAAATAATAATGCTCAAGTACTTTGTAATACATTTTCTATTTTTAGCAACTCATTTGCGAAAGATATAGGATCCGACATTTCTTCACCTCAAAAGAGTTAAATATAGTAAAGACAATATGTTCGACATATTTCACCAGCCAGCAAGGTAGGTCAAATATAAACCACTCAACAAGAACATGTAACACACCAATAAGTGACTGTAGCAACATTATGCCCAACAGAATGTCCATAAATTCATGTTCAGTTCTTCTTGTCCTTCCCCATAATGAGCCTCTTGATGACTAGCCACACACCACGGAAGTACTTCTGAATGATGCCATGGCGACGAAGACCGGGCACGAGCAGGATGATGTTGACTGGTTTGGAAACAAAGGGAGATTATTTCTATCATGGAATCTACTAATGATCTCTTACCATGGTACTATGTTCTAAACTAGATCAGCAATGACCTTGCAGCACACAGGATCATAACTATAATCAACACTTAAGTTACACAAACAATTGTGTGATCTCTATTTATACCAATTTAATATGCCAAAACTGAGGATGAAATTTAAGACCACTTAATCGGCCTTTTTAAGAATACTAGACATGATATATGTATCTGTGCTTATGTCTGTGGGCCCCATATTTGGTGGATCACAAATGCATATCATTCAAAGTACGATACAACAGGTGCAGGGCTGAAAATGTAAAGATCTTTCAATTCATTTAATAATCAAACATTGATAAAACATGAAGTGTAATCCCTTCCTTGAAACAAAACAGTACACTCCGAGATGGAAAATGTCATTTACTTACGGAGGAAGTATGTGAGGAAGAGGTTATCGAAAAGACTTCCGACCCAGGCAAACACCACCAGGATACCCATGACCAGGATGAAGTACTGGAACAAGACAGATGCTACAGTATATGGTCCTACACAACTCGGGGACTCAAGCTTACATACCTTCAACCACCAGCAAAACCTTAGGAGTCAAAACAATTGCTTACAACCATAGGTCAGTGACACTGAAAATTAACAAAGGACCATAGTTCATGTTGTTGACTGCCTATGCAATAATAATTTCATTCCTGTTTAACGTGTTTAAAAAATAGCAATATATTTTAAGTTTACTGAGTGAGTGAGTGAGTTGGTTTTTTCCGCTGCTTTTAGCAATATTCCAGCAATATCACGGCAGGGGACACCAGAAATGGGCTTCACACATTGTACCCATGTGGGGGTAACTCGAACCCGGTCTTCATGAAGCTTGAACAAGCTTAAGTTTACTGAAACACAGTTGAGGTAACTCTGTGTAACTTAAGTACTTCATGAAGAGTTGCTTGAACAAAAGTAAGATATATATCCAACAAAATATGTCTGTCTTCACCTAGTGTTGATAATTTAAGAAGACCATAGTTAATACAAGATTGTTCCATACTGATCACTCTGATGTGAAGACTTGTACAATTCCATTAGGCAGACAACAAAGTATTCACTATAACAAAACATATAGCAGTGTTCATTTCACAATGCACCATTGTAACTTTTTACACACTTTTTATAAACTGTTGCATTATTCTGATTGCAATTGTGCCAGACCAGCACATCTATATTTTTGTTAGATAATTTTACATAATGACTGATCTGAATAATACCACTTTCAACACTTTAAAGTATTTCTAAATTAACTCAGCATGACAAGTTGTGATATTTACACTTGTATTCTAAAAGCAGGAGTCCATAGAGAATGAGGTGAGGTTGCATAAGATGAGAAATCCCACTCTGTGAAGCTACAACTTCCTGCATGTTTCATCCAATGAGTGAAGTCTGATAACACAATTTGGTTTTGTACTATTTCTCCATGTCACTGTCAATAAAGCAGCAAGGTATGCACAAGAAATACCATAATATAGGGGAAACAAATATAAGGGAACACCTGTATAAGAAGACCAACTTAACCGTAAGTTGAGTATTGTTAAGACAATGCTGGATTCGAACCTGATCTGCAATCCAAACGAAATGAACAAGTTCCAGGACGATAATGCTCGAGATTTGCTCCTGCAGCAGCAGATAATAAATATTATACCTCCAGACAATCGAACCCGGCTCATTATAACAACGCTTGTACCTGTATAGGTACCCCAATCACTATTCCATTAGTGTTCATTTCAAATATATACAGAATGCACCATTGTAACAAAATATATAGCAGTGTTACAATGCACTTGTTACACACTAAACTGTTGCATTATTCTGATTGCAATTGTGCCAGACCAGCACATCTATATTTTTGTTAGATAATTTTACATAATGACTGATCTGAATAATACCACTTTCATCACTTTAAAGTATTTCTAAATTAACTCAGCGTGACAAGTTGTGATATTTACACTTGTATTCTAAAAGCAGGAGTCCATAGAGAATGAGGTGAGGTTGCATAAGATGAGAAATCCCACTCTGTGAAGCTACAACTTCCTGCATGTTTCATCCAATGAGTGAAGTCTGACAACACAATTTGGTTTTGTACTATTTCTCCATGTCACTGTCAATATAACAGCAAGGTATGCAAGAAATACCATAATATATAGGGGAAACGAATATAAGGGAACACCTGTATAAAAAGACCAACTTAACCATAAGTTGAGTATTGTTAAGACAATGCTGGATTCGAACCTGATCTGCAATCCAAACGAAACGAACGAGTTCCAGGACGATAATGCTCGAGATTTGCTCCTGCAGCAGCAGATAATAAATAGTATACCTTGGCCTGCCAGATCACCAGATGTCTGACCTAGTGAACATTTATGGGATGATTTGGGAAGAAGGGTTAGAGGCAGACCACAGCCACCAGCAAACTTACAGGCACTCAGACAAATCCTCCAAGAAGAATGATTCCAAGGGAGACAATTTGCAATCTGATCTCAAGCATGCTCAGAAGATGCCAAGCATGCATTGATGTCTGAGGCAGCTGGTCCAGATACTGACTATTGCCCACACAATGTCAAAATTTAGTTCCAATAAATTCCACCATGACCAAATATCTTAATGTTCCCTTAAATTTTGTTACTAGTACATTTTTTCTAAAACTGCAAAAGATAATCGACCACTCAAAAGTTAGCAATGCAACAATCCATAGCCATCTGATATCTTTCAGTGTATAGAAACTGAGAAATCAGAACATTTGTCCGATCACGCGGTCAGAGACAAATGAAACTGTGTTCCTGAATTAAGCTGATAGTTTTATAAACTGCCAGATTGAGCCACCAAGACATCAACAAATATCTTAATCATTTGAACAGATCAGTCATGATCAGCTTAGCCACTTGACCTAAGTCCCTGGGATCAGTATATGGACACATGATATTTAACATGTTATGTAACATCATTGGATTACAACTATGCCATAAGTGTTTTGAGCCAGTGGCTCCTCTACTCCAGTCATGTTTAAATTGTTCACTCAGTGGTGTCCAAGTTGTCAGTGACAGTTCTGATTTCAGTGGTTAAAACATTGTAACTTTGGAAGTAGTTCTTGGGCAGAAAATTATAATTTTAACACCATACATTATTCTGTTCCATGACCTAAACTGACTACAAGATCTATAGTGTATATTTTCTTAGCTAACTGAAATCTTAAAGTTTGAAACTGTTTAACATGTTTGTTGAACCTGAGTATTGAAATCATGGTTTTCATAAAATAATGAATTACAACTTTCTAATTTGTAAAGTCAATGAGCTATATTTAAAGACTTCAGTGGGTGTTCCACTTTAAGACATGAATTGACAAAGATCTGTAGACAGTAAACGTATAATGTTGTAGAATTGTAAACTGTGTGACACAAAGGTTACAATGTTTTGATGATAGTATAATTAAAAGCACTCAACTTATTGCTCTGGTATTTCTGAATCTGATAGTGAACTGATTGAAGCTACTTATCCTGGACCGGATAAGGATAAGGAAAAATTTGATTTATTCACAATGCAATGAGAAGTATAGCAGTTAAGATGTCACAATTGTGGTACCTTGTTGAATAGCTCTGTGCACACATATGATAGGAGTAATAGTTCACTAACAGAAATTAAAAGAATATCATTTTCTGTTAGTGATGATTAGTACAGTAAATGACCAATGGTTTTGCAAAATGTCCCTAAACTTTGGGCTTGTAGGAGTCTTTTGGCCCCACTTTTCAATTTTCTGAAATAAACACTGATATATTGATGGATGACATATTGAAATAGTACAGAATCACAAGTCCTCATTATAACATACCTATTAATAATGAATATACATAACACCAACAAAATGGAAAATGATGTTCTAAAACACATTAGAAAGTGTGTGCATTTTGAGCAAACCATACTCATAAAGGTCACAGAGAATATCATTAAATAGGGTATTTGAGACCCTTGTCAATCCTGTTCCCTTTACATCGATTGACATGAACCCAGGTCCTATACTTACCACTTTTGGTTTCTCGACCTTGAGTGTGCCCATGGCGTTCTTGAAATTGACGAAGTGATCGCGGGCGTGCATCAAACGCAAACAGATCTGCTCATACTGCTGCTGCTGTACCACTGTCCTGTATTATAGAGGGAGGAACAACTGTTAGTACAGATACAGTGAAAACACTTCCAGTACTGGGGAGCTGGGGTAGCCCAGTGGTTAAGGCGTTTGTTTGTCATGCCGAAGACCTGGGGTTCAATTTCCCACAAGGGACAATGTGTGAAGTCCCCCGCCATGATATTGTTGGAATATTGCTAAAAGTGGCCTAAAACTAAACTCACTCACTTCCAGTACTGGCAGAGATATGTATTTACATATCTGTAGAAATTGTCTTGTCTTGGTTCATTAACTGTACAATGATCGACAATGCAGGTATGCTTGCTTCATTTGCAATATAACACTATGATCCATCATATCTCACCAGGAGCCTGACGCAAACAGGGTGGGTCCAACTATTGGAACAAGGAAGTCAATCAAACTGATGATCAGGCCAAACAGTGAGAAGGTTGTCAGTACCGATGGCTCGAAATACCAGATTAGTCTGAAATGAAATAATGCCATGAAATCATACAGGTCTCATTTTCACATTTCCTGGACTTCATCATGGTCCAGAAATGATGTATTTTTCTGTTAAGTTCAAATCTGATAGTGATAAATGATTTTTCTTTTACTCTTTATACTTCAAGCACCAATAATTATTAAAATGTCCTATGTGTGCTGTTAACAAAACTCCCTCATTCTTTCACCATATCTTTTATTTTACAGACAGATTTTGCATTATCAAGTATTACATGCAAGTAAGATTTTGCAGAAATGTTCTTACGCGAAAATAAAAGTGGAAAGACCAAGGATGACAGCAGGGTGATATGGCTTGTCCCAGTTAAGAAGTCTGGTCATGGGTAGAAGCACCTCTCTCCAACCCTCCAGGTCTTTCTTGAGTTCCTCCAACTCATTATGAGGGCTGGAACGAGGGCTCTGCAAATAGAACACCATAAACAATAAGAAGAAAAAACCTGATATGTGTCACAGATTATGTGCAGAAAGGTTCTTCTACCATGATATAGTACATGTGAAACCTAAAGGCAACATAAAATGGAAAATGTTAGTGTAAACTCTAGTGGGTTGAGTAGGGCTAAGACTGAATCAGTTCATAATTAAATAAAATATCCGCAAAAAGACGATTAAAATCTTTTAAAGTACATGATTGCAAAAAGGAAAAAAGCCAATAAGGGTTCAAAGTCTTAAACCACTGAGAGGTGGAAGAAGACAAATGTGGAATGCTAACAAGTATAACTAAGCTTCAATGTCTCGGAGTTGAAACCATAGCCTCAGAGTGAGGTACCTGAACACCAAACAATCAGTGATCTAACCCACTCAGCCAGCAAAGTTTCCATCTCCACAAAAAGGTAACGTAAGTCTGACAACAAGTACTCTAGATTGAGTATGTTGTAGTAGTAGTAAAGTCAAGTCACTGACAGGGTCTCAACGCCAGTCTAACACCATCACGTCGACACAGTGGACAGACTATTTTACAAGTGTATGTAATATAACTGATATAGCTGTCGACAATGAGATGATTGATGATGTTTAAAACATTGTTTGAAATTATTGATGGAATGGATTGCGTCGACTGTGATATCGATATTGACATTGATAATGATGTTGACTGTATTATAAACGGTGATATTTCTCCAGAGGAGATTGAAGCAGCAGGTAAACACTTGAAGTGTGGGAAAGCTGCTGGGCCAGATGGCATTAAGACTGAAATGATCATTTGCTGTATCCATTTGTTATCGCCTTATTTGGTGTTGATTTATAATCATGTTCTCAGCTCTGGTGTATATCCACAGGAATGGGCGAAAGGAATTATAGTGCCCCTACATAAGAAGGGTAATGTAAATATAGTTGATAATTTTCGTGGTATTTTGCTCATGGCTGTTTTGGGTAAATCATTTTGCATTGTCATTAATAATCGTCTTCACAATTTTGCAGACTGTTATGATAAGATTCCAGAGGCCAAAGCTGGACTTCCTAAAGGTTACAGTACGACAGACAATATTTTTACCTTACAGTGTCTTGTTCAGAAATATCTTTCGAAAACTGGAGGTCGTTTTTATTGCTTATTTGTTGATTTTCGAAAGGCCTTCGATTCAGTCAATAGAACATTATTGTGGTATTCGCTTTTTAAACAAGGTATTCGGGGTAGATTATTTTCAGTTTTAAGAAATATGTATTCTAAGATTTTGGCTTCTGTTCATCTTAGTCATTCGTCGATTGGTGATTACTTTGAATCAGTGAGTGGTGTCTGGCAAGGTTGTGTTCTAGGCTCATTTCTTTTTGCGATGTTTATAACGGAATTTCAAGGTATGTTACAAAATTCAGGTCTTAGGGGTATCTTTATTGGTTCAGATTATATGGATTTATTGTTATTGTTGTATGCAGATGTTAGTAAAGCTAGTAAGGTCCTCTTTGCTTTGAAGTCTTTGTTTATAAAAGATCCAAGTATACCTGTAAAGATAATGTTCAAGTTGTTTGACAGTAAGGTTAAACCTGTGTTATTATATGGGTCTGAAATCAGGGGGTTCGATGAGAGGAAATCGGTTGAAATCTTTCACACAAAATTTTGCAAATATGTTCTTGGTGTAGGTAAGCAGGTTTCTAGTAATGGAGTTTTAGCAGATCGCGGTAGGTTATATATGTATGTTGATTATCATGTCAGATGTATAAGTTATTGGTGTAAATTATTGAGGATGTCGGAGGATCGTTATCCAAAACAGTCTTATTTACTCATGAGGAAATTAGATTTAGCTGGTAGAGTAATGTGGGCTACTTCTGTTAAATATTTGTTAAGTTCCTATGGGTTTGGAATTGTTTGGTACAGTCAGGATGTTGGTGATATTACTCAGTTTATATATAGTTTAAAGAATAGACTAATTGATTGTGATAAACAGCATATTTTTGGTAATATAAATCAATCTTCTCATTTGATGTACTTTAAAGAAATTAAGTCACTTTTAAATGTTGAATATTATGTAAATTTCATCAACCAAGTAACTGTCAGAAGAAATATTTGCCTTCTCAGATTAAATTCCCTCCCTTTACGGTGTAATATAAGGGTGTGAATGTAGATACGTATTGTAGAATGTGTGAAGATGGGGTGAATGAAAATGTTATACATTTTTTGTTTGAGTGTACTGCTTACAATGCAATTAGAGATAGATATGTTCCTGTAAATCGTCAGTTAAATTTAGTCGCTAATTATCATAATATATTAACTAGTAATTGTAGATTTACCCTTGTAAATTGTTCTAATTACATCAAAAGAAGCTCTTTTGTTACAACATTAGCCATTTAATTGAATTACTTTGTACAGTTGCTCCTATTCCACGAAATTGTACTCCTTTTTGCATGTATTGTACATAGGCTGATGGCCTACAAACCAAAATAAAAGAACATGAACATGAATGTTGTAGTCTTTCATATAAATAGGTACATATTTCATTCTAAAGACACATCCATCTGCTCCATATGTCATATCTATAAAGAAAAATAGTAGACACCACAAGCCACGAAATGTGACAAAAGAAATGTATTGAACAGGTGCTTGTGAACTTTTGTGCTGATACATGCAATTCTTGGAAAATAGCTCTGGAAAATGTTTAAGCATATCTCTAATCATGCTTATGATTCAATCACTGATAGTATAGAGAGGTAACCTCCCAAAACTTAAACAGCCATATCTTAGACAGCTTAAAACAACAAGGTATACTTGAGGTATACCCTTCTGACAAGTAACAAATTCTACCTTTCGAAGTCCAGCCCTATTGCCATAATGACCTAATCTGGGGCAGGACTTTTTATATCCGACATAAAACAAAAAAATGTAATGAGATTATTACAACAGTTTACACATAAGAAAATAAGATTTATGGATGTCAACTTCTTTATTGTAAATAACACGATGTTTCGGAGTGTATGCTTACTCCTTCATCACTCCGAAACGTCGTGTTATTCACAATAAAGAAGTTGACATCCATGAATCTTGCTTCTCTTATGCATTCCACTTCTAAAGGTCCTTCAAAGATTTGAGTTTACACATACTTTACAGATTTTCAAATGAAAAAAAGATCTCCCATCTACAGTTCATATCATTTACTTATCAATACAAGCTAGGTCTACTCAGCAGGGAACACTAATTAGGAATGTTCCATTTCAGCCATAGGTGTTGTCTTAATTAATCCCCTTCATTAGTGTCTACGTTATGGCTGTCTAAGATATGGCGGTCTAAGTTTCGGGAGATAACCTATAGAGACAATGTTCCTGTGAGAGAAGTTTACACACAAGATGTGCACAAGATTTGTGATGCTAAAAGAAGGAGGCTGTTTCTTTGAAACACTGGCACATTTCTTCAAAGTGATGACCATGCCATTATTAATTACCATCCATGATTGATAAAGATACAATATGCAAGTAAAGTTTTGATTCATATGATATATAAGAAAATGTGTCTAGGCAATATTCACAAATTGAATTTTTAATCCGTCAGAAAGTAAGTTGCCTGTTAGTAAGTGTTACAATGAACATGAACTTCCCAGATTTTCACAAAACTGGTAACTTGTTACTTCTTTTCAACTGTAATATCCATATGTCGTTGTCACAGACTAAACTCAATGTCTGTTGTATTGACACCTATGTGTCTGCCTGCCCCTCTGCTAATGACAATATTCAATACACAACTTCGATCACTGACCACATGCAATTTGAACTTAACACCTATCAGGCCATACACCATAAACAAAACGCATTGATTTATGACCCGAGTTTGGTCTCTGTCACATTATAATTACACACACAGGCAGGTGTGATACTTGTACACATAACATGTTATGATGTCTGTTGATTGCAAAATGTTATACACAAAAAATGAGCATGTATTTACAAAACCCAACAACTTTATATACACACACACACAATGAGCCGTGTGGGCATTGGCAAATGTACCAGCCGTTACCCTTGAGTGCACACCCACCCGCTCTGACTGGGATCGGTATTCACGGGTGCTTCGTTTCGAGGGAAGTAAACCCAAGTACAATATATTGCACTTTTGATTTGCGATTGTACGCTTATAATTCTGTTTATATGTTTTTTCATAATCAGCCATGTATATTAATTATATGTCATGAATAAGTGATAATTGTGTTTTAATTATGTTTGATTTTTTGGTTGCATGTGACCTTTAATTAAAATGCTTTAAAAATGGTGGTTGCTATAAAATGCGGTGCCGCCGTCTATGTTTAGCACACAAACTCCCTTAAAAGCGCTTGGATGACAGAACATTGAGAGTAGCTTTAGGCACACTTGATAACCAAGAAATTGATGTCACAGAGCATTGTTTTTGGTAACAATGTTTCATAAATTACTTCATAATGTCAAATGCTTAATAACATCCAGTGTTTTTTTCGCTAATTGCATGTCAACTGTAAAACATGTCACCAATACACATATGATGATTTATATCTTAAACATAAGCCCTATTCCAAATATTTACAATGTCTGTGTGATGCAACACAATTCATCATAGCAAATAAACACTGCCATCCTAAAAGTATGATGTCTGAAAAATATAACCCGACAATATATTGTTTTTGTAGATGCTCACAAAGTATCACCCTTTCAAAATATATATCCATTTGAAAATTATTTGATCACAAATATGAAAAATATATGTTTTGCCTCCTGGGACGATTTTCTAGTTTGTTCCATGACAAAGTGCAAAGTAAGACATGTGTTTCCCCCTTATCTATAAATAGAAACAACAATGGCTACTTGTTGCCGAGTTCGTACTTACTAATTTAGAAAATGTGTCATAATAAGCGGAGGACTGTAACTCTGGTTGGCAGTAAAACAGAACATTTTTACATTTACTGACTTCAGTTAAACACCAACGACCAGGACTATGGGGATATATTAGGGAATATATAAATATATAGCTTGTCTTAAATAATTTCATTCCTGCAGTTTCTGCGCGAGATATTCCGATAGAAACAAAACAAAATTCATTTTCCAGAAAGCCTCAAATCGGTTCTGTCGGCATTGCATGTTTGGACCCCGTGTTTGGTGTGAATGCAGCTTGACGTAGCTGAGCCCTACTCTATTTTGGAATGCGCAGTCCGATTAGGCGGAGACAACGTATCCTCGGATATGATTTGACAGCTTTATTTATTCTACTCCTTTCACATTCGTACACGCTAACGGGGGTCCTTCATGTCGTTTACTTGGTGCAATTGTTTACTTTCAAAGTTCACTTACATCTACGTGTTATTCTGCACAGTAATTGCAAACACATTACATTTAAAACAAGAAATACCCACATCTTCCAGAGGCCGAGATTCAGTGCTGTCCGCCATTTTACTTCTTTGTTATGATCTCGCAAGATGTTAAATTTCCGAGACATTTATTATCAACGTGATTTTCAATATTAATTACAAAAGGTGATTCTAAATAAATAAAAAAGATAATTTTTAACCCTATGATAAAAAATGTTGACAGAAATAATTTAAAGACTGAGCATTTTTGTTAACAATATCTTATCTTGGTTAGGATTGGCTAATAAAATAGGTCACGTCTGTAAACATCGGTGTGATTGGTTAAAATTCATATACGGCCTACTTCAACGTTTACAGTGCAATAACAGAGAAGGTGATCGCCTAGGATTGCCAAATTATTTTCTAGATTACTCCTTTCTACTTCAGTTAGTGTGTAAATATGTCGAGTGTAAGTATCTAAGTTACTTTTCTATTGGTTCTTGTCACCAGTAGTGATTTTAGAATAGAAATATTGTTGATAACCAACATGAAATATTCTGCGTTTTGTTCAACTGAGGATGTTCATTTCGCACAGCTGAGCGACCAAAATTGTGATAAAGTAATATACTAATGGCCCTTATTTTGGCCAAATATTTTGAATTTTAGACAAAAATAACAACATGATAACTTAATCTGCGTGGTGGAGCTGAAAAGCAAACAATTGCGCAATTTGATGCTCCCGTTGAAGAGATGGGCTGTCTATGTGTTTGGACTTGTTATTTGTTGCCAAAAAAGTGAAATTCAAATTATAGTGTACCTTTCATTATGTAGACACTTTTATGTTTGTGTTATATGTCACTGCACTCCACAGTAATGTACTATTATGTAGAGTGATAACAACCTGCTGTATTAACCTTGTAATATTATTGTCATCAGCTGGTCATGGTCTTTAGTGCCTCTGAGTATGAGATTTAATTAACGGAATGATTTCCCCTTTCAGTCTTGTAAAAAAAATTCAGGAAACTAAATAAGATATCAGGAAATAGTCCCTGTCTTCTATGCTAATAACCATGAAGAATAATATTTATACTATCAGCCCCGCCATGTTTGAAGCTCCTTGTATTGTCCTCCTCCAAAAATAACAAGCATATTTCAAGAGCAATAACCATATCTATGTTTAGAATATTAACAATATGGAGGTCAGCTGCAGAAAACAAAGTTCAAACACTGTTGAAACAAAAACATTGTGTTGGTCACGCGATATACAACTTGTATAGTAGATCCCATTGTCATGTATTTTAGCTAGTGCAGTGGGGAAGATTTCTGCCCGTAACCCCCGTTAGTTGTTTATAGATGGGTTTTTATTTAGAAAGCTTACCTAAACCTAAACCTAAACCTAACCCCTCAAAATAATCATAATAAATAGAATACATTTCAAGTGTGGGTTACGGGCAGAACTCTTACAGTGCAGTGCACATTACGTGTGAACGTCTAATATAACAACCAGGAAATAGACATCACATTGGCTTGTGTTTTACCTTTGATGCAGTAAGTTACTTTAATAGCCATATTTACTTTTTAAAAGGGAAAAAAATTGTTTTGTTTTTTTAAAAAAACCGTTTCACCCCTATCATAGTATTGTACTGGAAGTTTCTTTTGCGATCACACACACACAAAAGTGAAAGTTTGGTCTATATCTGTAACAAATACAATTACTCCATTTTGTCAATATGGTTTTGTTATGCAATGTTCACAAAAATGGAATTGAGAGGACATGGTAAACAGAATTAATTTCAGCCAATGTGAACTGAATATTGTTATGAGGCCTTGAATGTAAGAAGTACTGTCATTGAAAATACTCTGTAGAGGTTCTAAGGAGAGTGATTGCAATAACTTTGTGCTACAAGGTTACCTAGGTATAATCTGGATATGTATCAATGCAAAATAAAACAACTACATGGGATAAGGAGTGAGTGAGATGAGTTTTATGCCGCTGTTAGCAATGTTCCAGCAATATCATGGTGGGGGACACCAGAATTGGGCTTCACACATTGTACCCATGTGGGGAATCGAACCTGGGATGGAATAAGGAAGATATGTAAACAAGTATATATTATAATGAATTGTAAAATACTTTTTCCTGGCTATATGCACAAGTTCTGAAGCCACAGTTCTTTTTTATATGCCCAAAGTACTAAGTATGAACTGAAGACTTTGAATGGGCCTCATGGTGTTGGATCACATAGAACAAGCATCCAGTACCAGACACATTACCTTGCCATCAAAATGTGTATTTAAGCTGTGTGTGGAATCAATAATCTATGAGTATCAATAATACAGCATCATGTTTTTATTAGCAATGGTGAAGGTTCTAATTAGAGATGACTCCATTCAGAAAGCTTAGACTCTCTTGCTGAAGGAAAACGTTCTCAGTGACAAAAGGTTATGTGGATCTTGAGTAGGACAGAGTTCAACTTTCAGCTTGCTTAGTTCTGCCATTTATTGATCTTTTCTTCCCTCAGGGGATTTCAGGCTTGATCTTGATTTCTATGTTTTTTTCAGAGATCAAATGTAGAGAATCTGTCCCCACAAGTAATTCGGCAGGTGTCCAAAGAATTAAGTGACCTAGCAACCAAACCCCCTGAAGGAATAAAAGTTTTTCTAAATGAAGAGGATATCACAGACATCAAAGCCATCATCGAAGGACCAGGTAAATGCTGGAAAATAATGCTTCTAGAAATAAATTGAAAATGTGTGCAAGACCGGTTGTAATAATGATCTGCCTATTATTCACTGTACACACACAGATATCTCTGAATTCTATTTTATGGTATTTGCATGATACAGATGTCATCTATATCTTCAGTCAAAGTTATTTCTGCTGTGTCTTGTACTGGGCTCTGCTGGTAGAATCTTACCCTGCATGTTTGCCCATTTGGGGATCAGTGGGGGGATAGGCCTATGTCGACTTAATGAAGTAATTGTCCTGCGAGCCTATTCTAAATGAGCTTTGTGTGGTTTCACTCGGCTGGTTATGTGTCACTGTCAGGGTTTGTTGGGTTCATATCTCAGCTTGGGAGTACAACCTTGGACATGATGTTAAAGAACAAGATACGAAAGTATCAATTCTATCCCATTCAGATGCACAAATGTGACTGAACTACAATGGTTCCAGTATCCAACCTTGCATCATGTCTTGCAAACTACTGTAAGATGGGTTACATGGACAGTACAAAATGCAGCTACTGTTCTAATGAGGTGGATGTTATACATGTACTTATAAAAGTATGAAAAGCCAAGAAAGTTCACTGAAGCTAACGTAGAGAAGAGGTAGCCTACTAAGATTGATTTGTGAAACGGCGCCTATAAAGTAATGTAATGAATTTGTGAAGACAACACATGACTTCATATAGTTTTTCTCTCAACATTGAAGTGCTGTAAAGTCATATAGCAGTAACTGACCAATCAGTATTGCCAAAATGTGCATCTGCAAATATCTAAAAGTTAACACATGATCATTGAAGCCTTCATTTTCTCCTTTAAAATGTCAACAACTACTATACAGACAGACCATGACTGACACAGCAGACATACTGCAGGCAGGGAAGTAACACATCTGCCATTCACATGCTTACTCTGTTCTGTACTTCTGCCTGCAGCTGGAACTCCGTATGCTGGTGGTGTGTTCCGCATGAAGCTGGTGTTGGGCAAGAACTTCCCCTCAGAGCCACCTAAAGCCTATTTCCTCACCAAAATTTTCCATCCAAATGTTGCAACAAATGGAGAGATTTGTGTGAACACACTAAAGAAAGACTGGAAGGCAGAGCTGGGACTCAAGCATGTTTTACTGGTGAGATGTGCTGATGAGGCTGATCACTGGACAGTGGTGTATGTAGATTACACTATATGGGACAGACTCATATATATGAGTATTCTAGGGCTGTGTAGATTACACTATATGGGACAGACTCATATATATGAGTATTCTGGGGCTGTGTAGATTACACTATATGGGACAGACTCATATATATGAGTATTCTGGGGCTGTGTAGATTACACTATATGGGACAGACTCATATATATGAGTATTCTAGGGCTGTGTAGATTACACTATATTGGACAGACTCATATATATGAGTATTCTAGGGGCTGTGTAGATTACACTATATTGGACAGACTCATATATATGAGTATTCTGGGGCTGTGTAGATTACACTATATTGGGACAGACTCATATATATGAGTATTCTGGTATTACTGGGGACTGACTGTATATTACACTATATTGGACAGACTCATATATATGAGTATTCTGGGGCTGTGTAGATTACACTATATTGGACAGACTCATATATATGAGTATTCTGGGGCTGTGTAGATTACACTATATATATATGAGTATTCTAGGGACAGACACTATATTGGATATATATGAGTATTCTGGGGCTGTGTAGATTACACTATATTGGACAGACTCATATATATGAGTATTCTGGGGCTGTGTAGATTACACTATATTGGACAGACTCATATATATGAGTATTCTGGGGCTGTGTAGATTACACTATATTGGACAGACTCATATATATGAGTATTCTGGGGCTGTGTAGATTACACTATATTGGACAGACTCATATATATGAGTATTCTGGGGCTGTGTAGATTACACTATATGGGACAGACTCATATATATGAGTATTCTGGGGCTGTGTAGATTACACTATATTGGACAGACTCATATATATGAGTATTCTAGGGCTGTGTAGATTACACTATATGGGACAGACTCATATATATGAGTATTCTGGGGCTGTGTAGATTACACTATATGGGACAGACTCATATATATGAGTATTCTAGGGCTGTGTAGATTACACTATATTGGACAGATTCATATATATGAGTATTCTAGGGCTGTGTAGATTACACTATATGGGACAGATTCATATATATGAGTATTCTGGACAGTATATATATGAGTATTGGACAGACTCATATATATGAGTATTCTGGGGCTGTGTAGATTACACTATATTGGACAGACTCATATATATGAGTATTCTGGGGCTGTGTAGATTACACTATATTGGGACAGACTCATATATATGAGTATTCTGGGGCTGTGTAGATTACACTATATTGGACAGACTCATATATATGAGTATTCTAGGGCTGTGTAGATTACACTATATTGGACAGACTCATATATATGAGTATTCTGGGGCTGTGTAGATTACACTATATTGGACAGACTCATATATATGAGTATTCTGGGGCTGTGTAGATTACACTATATTGGACAGACTCATATATATGAGTATTCTGGGGCTGTGTAGATTACACTATATTGGACAGACTCATATATATGAGTATTCTGGGGCTGTGTAGATTACACTATATTGGACAGACTCATATATATGAGTATTCTGGGGGCTGTGTAGATTACACTATATGGGACAGATTCATATATATGAGTATTGGACAGACTCATATATATGGCTGTGTAGATTACACTATATTGGACAGACTCATATATATGAGTATTCTGGGGCTGTGTAGATTACACTATATTGGACAGACTCATATATATGAGTATTCTGGGGCTGTGTAGATTACACACTATATTGGACAGACTCATATATATGAGTATTCTGGGGCTGTGTAGATTACACTATATTGGACAGACTCATATATATGAGTATTCTGGGCTGTGTAGATTACACTATATTGGACAGACTCATATATATGAGTATTCTAGGGCTGTGTAGATTACACTATATTGGACAGACTCATATATATGAGTATTCTGGGGCTGTGTAGATTACACTATATTGGACAGACTCATATATATGAGTATTCTAGGGCTGTGTAGATTACACTATATTGGACAGACTCATATATATGAGTATTCTGGGGCTGTGTAGATTACACTATATTGGACAGACTCATATATATGAGTATTCTGGGGCTGTGTAGATTACACTATATTGGACAGACTCATATATATGAGATTTATATGACTATATTGGACATTCACTTACACTATATAGACTCATATATAGTATTCTGGGGCTGTGTAGATTACACTATATTGGACAGACTCATATATGAGAGTATTCTGGGGCTGTGTAGATTACACTATATTGGACAGACTCATATATTCTGAGCTATTCTAGGGCTCATGTAGATTACACTGTGTATATTGGGACAGACTCATATATGAGTATTCTAGGGCTGTGTATTCTATATTGGGACTGTGTGAGATTACACTGTATTGGACTATATTCAGACTCATATATGAGTATTCTGGGGCTGTGTAGATTACACTATATTGGACAGACTCATATATATGAGTATTCTGTGTAGATTACACTATATTGGACAGACTCATATATATGAGTATTCTGGGGCTGTGTAGATTACACTATATTGGACAGACTCATATATATGAGTATTCTAGGGCTGTGTAGATTACACTATATTGGACAGACTCATATATATGAGTATTCTAGGGCTGTGTAGATTACACTATATTGGACAGACTCATATATATGAGTATTGGGACTGGGGCTGTGTAGATTACACTATATTGGGACAGACTCATATATGAGTATTCTGGGGCTGTGTAGATTACACTATATGGACAGATATATATATGAGTATTCTGGGGCTGTGTAGATTACACTATATTGGACAGACTCATATATATGAGTATTCTGGGGCTGTGTAGATTACACTATATTACACTATATATGGTACAGGGCTCATATATATGACAGTATATCTGGGGCTGTGTAGATTACACTATATTGGACAGACTCATATATATGAGTATTCTGGGGCTGTGTAGATTACACTATATTGGACAGACTCATATATATGAGTATTCTGGGGCTGTGTAGATTACACTATATTGGACAGACTCATATACAGTATATGAGTATTCTGGGGCTGTGTAGATTACACTATATTGGACAGACTCATATATATGAGTATTCTGGGGCTGTGTAGATTACACTATATTGGACAGACTCATATATATGAGTATTCTGGGGCTGTGTAGATTACACTATATTGGACAGACTCATATATATGAGTATTCTGGGGCTGTGTAGATTACACTATATTGGACAGACTCATATACAGTATATGAGTATTCTGGGGCTGTGTAGATTACACTATATTGGACAGACTCATATATATGAGTATTCTGGGGCTGTGTAGATTACACTATATTGGATGAGATTCATATATGAGTATTCTGGGGCTGTGTAGATTACACTATATTGGACAGACTCATATATATGGAGTATTCTGGGGCTGTGTAGATTACACTATATTGGACAGACTCATATATATGAGTATTCTGGGGGCTGTGTATACACTATATGGACAGTATTCTGGGGCTGTGTAGATTACACTATATTGGACAGACTCATATATATGAGTATTCTGGGGCTGTGTAGATTACACTATATTGGACAGACTCATATATATGAGTATTCTGGGGCTGTGTAGATTACACTATATTGGACAGACTCATATATATGAGTATTCTAGGGCTGTGTAGATTACACTATATTGGACAGACTCATATATATGAGTATTCTGGGGCTGTGTAGATTACACTGTATTGGACAGACTCATATATATGAGTATTCTGGGGCTGTGTAGATTACACTATATTGGACAGACTCATATACAGTATATGAGTATTCTGGGGCTGTGTAGATTACACTATATTGGACAGACTCATATATATGAGTATTCTGGGGCTGTGTAGATTACACTATATTGGACAGACTCATATATATGAGTATTCTGGGGCTGGTGTAGATGTAGATTACACTATATATGGACTAGATCATCATATATGAGTATTCTGGGGCTGTGTAGACACTATATGGGACAGATTCATACATATGAGTATTGGACAGACTCATATATATGAGTATTCTGGGCTGTGTAGATTACACTATATTGGACAGACTCATATATATGAGTATTCTGGGGCTGTGTAGATTACACTATATTGGACTATATATGGACAGACTCACTATATACAGACTCATATATATGTATTCTAGGGCTGTGTAGACACTATATGGGACAGACTCTATATGAGTATTCTGTGACATTGGACATATATGAGAGATATTCTGGGGGGCTGTGACTTACACTATATTGGACAGACTCATATATATGAGTATTCTGGGGCTGTGTAGATTACACTATATTGGACAGACTCATATATATGAGTATTCTGGGGCTGTGTAGATTACACTATATTGGACAGACTCATATATATGAGTATTCTAGGGCTGTGTAGATTACACTATATTGGACAGACTCATATATATGAGTATTCTGGGGCTGTGTAGATTACACTATATTGGACAGACTCATATATATATTCTGAGTATTCTGGGGGCTGTGTAGATTACACTATATTGGACAGACTATATATATATTCTGGGGCTGTGTAGATTACACTATTCTATATGAGTATTCTGTGTGTAGATTACACTATATTGGACAGACTCATATATATGAGTATTCTGGGGCTGTGTAGATTACACTATATTGGACAGACTCATATATATGAGTATTGTAGATTACACTATATTGGACAGACTCATGTATTCTAGGGCTAGATTACACTGTATTGGACAGACTCATATACAGTATATGAGTATTCTGGGGCTGTGTAGATTACACTATATTGGACAGACTCATATATATGAGTATTCTGGGGCTGTGTAGATTACACTATATTGGACAGACTCATATATATGAGTATTCTGGGGCTGTGTAGATTACACTATATTGGACAGACTCATATATATGAGTATTCTGGGGCTGTGTAGATTACACTATATGGGACAGACTCATATATATGAGTATTCTGGGGCTGTGTAGATTACACTATATTGGACAGACTCATATATATGAGTATTCTGGGGCTGTGTAGATTACACTATATTGGACAGACTCATATATATGAGTATTCTGGGGCTGTGTAGATTACACTATATTGGACAGAGATTCACTATATATATATGAGTATTCTGGGGCTGTGTAGATTACACTATATGGGACAGACTCATATATATGAGTATTCTGGGGCTGTGTAGATTACACTGTATTGGACAGACTCATATATATGAGTATTCTGGGGCTGTGTAGATTACACTGTATTGGACAGACTCATATATATGAGTATTCTGGGGCTGTGTAGATTACACTGTATTGGACAGACTCATATATATGAGTATTCTGGGGCTGTGTAAGGTCCCTGTACCCCTTTCTTATAGTAAGTCATGTGTAAAGGATTGTATAGTGAGCAGATTGGAATAAAAGAAGGTTACTTTGGGAATCCCAAAACATTTTGAGCCTACAACCCACACCTTTCCTTTCACTGCCAGATCTTCCCAGTATATGACACCTCCTCCCCCAACTTGTGGATCAAGGCATAGCTATTATCCCACTTGAGCTACATTATTCCAAGTTGATAGTGAAGTAAAATCTGCTGTTCTTTTCCCCAGACAATAAAGTGTTTGCTGATTGTGCCAAATCCCGAGTCTGCTCTGAATGAAGAGGCAGGCAAGCTGCTGCTTGAACAGTATGAAGACTACTCTCATCGGGCAAAGATGTTCACAGAAATACATGCAAAACCTCCAAAGTGAGTATCTTTATAAAATTAGCATGAATCTATGCCCAAATATCTATATGTATGGAATTTAGAGTGAAGTATGTTACTGGGTTGAAGACTTTGAAATTTGAGAAAATATTGTGCAATAGTTAAGAATGCTGATGTCTGATGAGGCAGAGTTCATCTGTAAAATGTTGAATCAGCACCCACACACAGAAATGTAGATTTGGAGGTGTCCTCCTATACTTGCAGTGGGAGGTGTCCTATACTTGCTGTGGGAGGTGTCCTATACTTGCTGTGGGAGGTGTCATCCTATACTTGCAGTGGGAGGTGTCATCCTATACTTGCTGTGGGAGGTGTCATCCTATACTTGCAGTGGGAGGTGTCATCCTACACTTGCAGTGGGAGGTGTCATCCTATACTTGCAGTGGGAGGTGTCATCCTATACTTGCTGTGGGAGGTGTCCTATACTTGCATTGTTGGGTGTCATATACTTGTTGTAAGAGGTGTCATCCTATGCTTGCATTGGGAGGTGTCCTCCTATACTTGTTGTGAGAGGTGTCATCCTATACTTGCTGTGGGAGGTGTCCTATACCTGCTGTGGGAGGTGTCATCTTATACTTGCAGTGGGAGGTGTCATCCTATACTTGCATTGGGGGTGTCATCCTATACTTGCTGTGGGTGGTGTCATCCTATACTTGCTGTGGGAGGTGTCATCCTATACTTGAAGTGGGAGGTGTCCTATACCTGCTGTGGGAGGTGTCATCCTATACTTGCAGTGATTATTACTGATCAGGGTTAAATTACAATGTCTGTAGGACAGAAAGTTGCTAATAGTTTCATTTCTTAAATACACAAATGTCCTAATTTCAGACTCATGACAGCTGATGCATATAATCCCAAGGAAGATAAACTTACTGATGGTCCAATGGCAAAGAAGCATGCTGGCGACAAGAAGCTCTTAGACAAGAAGAAAAAGGAAAAGAAAAAAGTGCTGAAGCGCTTGTGATGTGCTTAACAGACATATTGTGGACCGAGTCCGCTATCTCAGTACTGCATCAATGCCAGCCATCCTTTTCATGTGATGGAGCCGACAGCAACCATGTGGGTGCATGTCTCGGGTGGGGCAGTTTGCCCTGTGTGAATGTCTGGGGCCTCAAGACGGACAACGTTGTGCCCTGGCTCGATCTGTCTGTTTGGTCATATTTTAGTTTGCCTGCTGACCAGGAAGTCATGTGGGGATTTCTCTTATCTTGACTTTTCATGTCTTGCAAATGAAACCTATTTCAGCTGTATTTGAGCATACACTGTATATGTGCATGGATTACACGTGTGAAATACTGGTAAAAACATTACATCCAGTGATATATTCATTGTGTGATCAAATACAGTTGTGTCCACTGTGTAGAAGTCTGTTCTTTTATCATTCGAGAGACAGCATGTTCTTACCCAATCACCTGCTTAGAACAGTGCTCTCAATTTTATATACCTCTACATTACTATCATAACATACCTTGTCTCAATCAAGAATGTCATCACACATTTATTCATTCATGATCAAACTTCCATTTTTCAAGTTAAGAATTCCAAATTGTATCATGCATCTAATAAACTATGATCCAAGGCTGTATGGGGTGCACAGGTGGTCTAATAGTGCTGTTAAATATTTCTGTACATTCATTACAATCACTTCATTGCAATTTCAGTTTCATCCATGAAAAATATTTATGAATCCAGTGTCATTTTCATAAATCAGTTCAAAAGCTTACCAGCCAGTATGTCATTTTCAGTGAGTGCATTGTTCTTAACAAGTGATGGAGTTGGAGATTGTTTAGTGGTTACCTCAAGAAAAAGAACTAATTTCTGTTGTCTCTGAATGAACTTATTCTATTATGTTCTGTTACATTTGTATTATTTATTACTCAGTGATCCTGTTTAGGATTGCAATTTTACATTTGCAGATTAATGTATGTTGGTCTTCAAGACTTGTACATATGTACACTCATCTGTGAATAGTTTTCTTTTAATTTATGACCGAGTCTTATGGCCCTGAGTGCATGCATGTGTGTAAATGTCATTGTCATTTTTCATAGATCATCAAGATAATAAATTTGTACATACACTTAACATGTCCTCTGTTGTCTTAACACATATTTTCATAAAACATGGAGAAACATTTGGAGCATTCAACCATAGTGAGTAACTGTTTATTTTGAGTCTTCTGTGCAATACTTGCATTTCAACACCATGTGCAGCTGGATTATCCCTTCCATTTGTGCTGTCAAGAGCTATCCTTACTAGAAGTTGTACTTGGCTCCAGTCTTTGCAAATTGTCCAAGGGTCTGAGCAAGATGACATTCTCTTTTAACTGTTGCCTTCCCTACATTCACATTAATTGGAATTGTAGTCCAGTTTTACACAGCAGTCTGTTGGTAGCTTGGTCAAAGGAAGAGTCAGGATGTGGTCCAACTTATATCCAGCCTCATATCACCATTAGATGAAGAGTTGTGTCCCTTAGTAACATTGTGTATATAGTATTCCCCGAAATTATTGAGAAAGTTGTTTTTGCAAATATCTAATGCATGTATATAAACTATAGAAGTTTTACTTAAATGAATATGTTGAGATATGATTCTCTTACAGTCTGTCTTTTCAGTACTTTTCAGACCTCCTTGCCCTGCAATACACGAATGAATGTGCCTAGTTATACTACCGATCAAAGTTTGTAGGAAATCGTGTGACAGTGTATCCAAATATTAGACCTCTTCTTTCTTCATATCATTAATATTTCTTAGTCCTTTTTGGTTAATTCTGTCTTCCATTAGTCCCCACACATTCTCAACAGGGGTAAGATCAGGGATGTAGCTCGGCCAGTCAAAACCTTGAACATTTTCATCCAACAATCAGTTTTGTGTAGCCCACAGTGTGTTTTTGTGGTGTCACTCCACGTGATGATATCCCACCTGGGGCTATGTTTTGGGCATTGGTAGATAGGTTTTACTGTATCTTTTGTCCAAATTTTCACACAGTTCGGAAAAAGCCAGACAGAATCTTCATGAGAAAAGAAAACAGTTTAAATGTCTCTTTTTGTGCATCGTTCATCAGTGGTGAGGAAATTCCGCTCTTTTTCACCCTGTTAAGTCTTTGTAATTCTTGTCTAAGTGTTTTCCCCTACTCACAATCTGACCAAGTTGCCAGTGATCTGTAGTACTGAACATCCTTGGCCACCCTGCCCCTGTCTTGTGCTCAATCCCACCTCCTGACTGAATATTCTTCAAAGTTCTGTATACTGTAGATAGAGGAATGACATGTCTACCAGCTAACTCTTTTGTATTAATCACACCCCTTTCAAAATCATCTTGAACCAGCTTTCTTTTCTCATCTGCTGTCAAATCTGCCATGTCAACTAAGGAAGCTGTCTGCACCACCAGGGGAGATAACTCTTGATGTAGTAAGGTTCACTCTTACTCCATCAAGAGTTGCCTCCCATATTGAGTACCTTACTATATAATGTAACACCTATTTTAAAATTTTGTTAGCAGTATTAGGAAACAAAGATTCTTTTGTTTTCATAAGTGTCTCTCTTGGAACTTTTACTGCTTTATGAACGGCATTTTCAACTACCCCACGTGGATATCCTTGTAGCTGGAGATTCGTCTTCAATTCTTCTAATCTTGCACTTCTTGTGTCCACATCCAAAACAATAGTACCAAAAATAATTTAATTCTCCATAAGTCTCAGTCGTCTACAAAATGATGTATATCTACTTTCAATTCTTCTTTGTTCTGCTTTGGTGTTGGCGTAAAATTTCAAACCCTGTTTAAGTAAACTGATTTCATAGAATAACAAATAAAGTGTCCTGAAACATCGGCGCGATGTATCCCACTGAGTGAACATCTAGATGTTCTCTGGATGCTTTGTCTGGAAGGAAACGATATTAAATTTACAATATTTCCTATTTATCAAGTTCAAAATTCGGACAAAGTAACACGAATTTTAAAAAACACTACTTTATAGACAAGTTCAAACCAATGCTAAACCATTGCAAGCTGTGACCTTGTCGCTCTAGAATGTTGTCCCTATTGTGTCAGGTTATTTCAGCAATGTGTGACACTGAGAAGTACTCATGAGAGCCATCAGATACCTTAATATACACCCAAAGCCATTATAAATGCAATTTCAATTTCATAGCTTATTTACTTTCACAGATATAACATGACAAAATTGATTTGGCAAACATTTCTGCAAAATTTCATGGAGAAATCTATAACAAAGGCACAAATCAGTAACGTCAGAGAGTCACAGAACAAGGCAGGGGGTAAGCAGGATTCAATAACGGGTATGCACACCACAGGCCCTCGTGTCTTTGTGAGGATTAAAGATTAATTATTTTTTTTTAGATGACCATGAACTCGAAATGCTTCACAGGACACAAAATCATGACAAGGCTGGATACTTCGGTGTACCCCACCCACCTGCTTTGCCGATCGCTACGCTACCATCGCATACAATCGATTAAAACTTATTTTTTTATAATGTAAACATATTCATGGATGATTGGCCTGTTGATCACCACTCATGACACCTACCAGTTCTTAATTGTTATTTCTGTAAGTTGATTGAAAACCAATTTTTACCCTCAACTACACAATCTGCACAAAACGGGGCTGTGGTCGAAGTAAGCCCTCGGATTGGTCGACGCTTGTTAATCTCCACATTCTTTATAAATTCGCAGGAGTTTTGACTTCATCGAGTGCTTGACTTGGAAATGTAAGCATTTTTTGTCCAGCATTGGCTTTTCAAAAGAAAGCATCAGCTGCAAAGGTCTTCTTAACAAGCGTCGACCAATCAGAGGGCTTGCACCCGTTTGGTGCAGACCTATTGCACCATGAAGCTACCACCCCCAAAATGCTCCCTTTCCAGAACACAGTTATGAGCAAGATGTTCATGTTGACATAGTAAATGTGTTGGAGAAAACTGACATTGAACTGACAAAATGACATCACACCATGGTGTGTTCTGCAGATTTCCCCATTAGCTGCCCATCACTGTCTGGCAAGTTGATGATGGTGCAGTAGGATCTGACCTTGGTAGGGTCAATGGCACTGTATCCCAAAAGCAGTCACATTTCTTCGGACCGTATGTGGGATGATATGGCATTGTCGTGTCCCAAATGTCCTCCTTGCTGCTGTCTGGAATCTGTGAAGACGGATGTGACGGTCTTGAACAGGGGTTGTCATGGGTGACACACCATGTTGGCAACTGTCCCTGTGGTGTTGAAACGATGTCTGAAACAAGTACTAGTGGATGGGTGGACAGGAAAGTGTAGGGCTACCTGCACCTGCGCAGCACCTTGGTTCAGCATTCCAATTGCCTGGTTTCTGTTGTCTTGCGTGGGGCATGGCATTTTCCCCCAAGTGATGGATGTTCAAATTTGAAGGGCCTGAGAGCAGGGAATGCACGTGCACAACATGACATCTGAATCTCAGAATTACACTGAAATGTTGCGTTTTCAAAAATAAAGTCATTACTGTGAAATGATATGGGCTTCAAACCCAGAATTCCACAGGAGAGACCCAGCACACACAACATCTCTGTGACTTAAGGACAAATACTCCAAGTAACTCTTTGCCAGAAATAGTACATAAAATATTTGTTGCGTTTTTAATGGTTTTGAGTATATATGTGAATGTAATCTATATGTAGATTTATCCATCTTAAGCTGTGGGGTGATGCTTATATGTTTCAAGAATGGTGAATTGAAAGGTTTTCAGGGAGAGTTGCATCACCTTGACCAAAGCAGATTTTCTTGGATACAGAAATATATATACTGAACCACAAAAGAAATGTCGCACCAATAGAGGTTTCTTAAAGCACACACATTAATTCACTCTAATTAACAATCAAAACGGAGGATTGAGTTCAAACGTTACAATTATGGTTAACACATATTCGGGTAGCACATTCAGAGTTCACACAATCAAAATCACCAAAAATGATACTATTAAGATACCCCCAAATCACTATTGTGTGTGGCATCGATGAAAGCGTTACATCGTCTGTACATGGAATGAATAAGCCGGTTGATGAAGGCCATAGGCACTTGGGTCGATACTCTGCAAAATGCCTGATGGAGTCCAGCAGCAGTTGTCGGCCTTGGGTGGATGTCATTCAGTCTTCTTTGAATCTCGTCCCAAAGGTGTTCTATTGGATTCAAATGAGGACTGAGTGCAGGATATTGTAAGGTTTGGATGCCATGTTGTCTTAGGAAGTCCAATGTTACTCTGGCAGTGTGGGCACGAGTGTTGTCTTGCTGGAAGATATCATTTCTGTAACGTCCAAACTTTGGTACAACATGGGGTCTTTTGACTTGTTCAATATAGTGAGTAGCCGTCATTTCCTCACCCTGGACAGAGATTCTGGAACACCACAGTGCCCACTATCTGGTTCAGACTGATTGCACCCCACACCATGATGCTTGGACCACCCCATGAGTCTCTTTCAACAATACACTCATTGGAAAACAGTTCCCCATGCCTTCACCATACTCTCACTCTGCCATCGACTGTCGAAACACAATATCGGCTTTCATGAGAGCACAGCACAGTTCTCCATTGTCGATAACGCCAATTTTGATGCTGAGTTGCCTATTGCAGTCTGACGAGCAGCAAGGACAGGACTATGATATGATCTGTGACAGCAGAGGTTTCTTTCATGCAAATGTTGACGCACTGTATCGGTACTAAAGGGTCTGTTGTGACTCCCAGTGGTCTGACTCCTTGTTTCCGTCGCACTGGGGAAGCGATCCTGCAGATGGTTGCGCACAACGGTCTTGGATGCTGTTAGTAAACTGATACCACTCATTCAGTCTGTAGATTGTCCTAACATGAACATTAAAATGGTGTTTTTATTATGATTGTATGGTTTGGTAACATGTTTTTCAATCAAAATTGACTGTTACTACCAACATCAGTGGGTTTTCTGATGAAAAAGCATTTCACCAAACGCACCTAAAAAGGCAGATGTGGTAAAAGTCTGTGTGACATTCATGAAAATGAAAATGCACATGCATATCGTGACAACCCTACCAATAAAAGTGAGTCCCAAACTGCGCCTGAAATCATTTTGTTTTGACACAATCGCCATGGCACGACTTAAAGCGAGATCAGAGAAACCAAGTCTTGGGACCATTGCAAGTTTGCCAGACTGCACGGAGGGTAGCCAATCATTTTGTAAGTACAAAATCCTGCATTTGGTTTTGAAAGACGACATTTCTTTTGTGGTTCAGTATAGTATGAAGATATTATTCATCTGATGTGGCACCATTATGTCCTCAGATCTTCATTCAGATTGCATCAAGTCACATCTCACAGCCAGCATTGTCTGCTCCAAGCTTCTTACTAAAAAGTCTCACAGGGAAAACCTGTGTTCATCCATGTTGCCATGACCAGTTCTCAGTAAAGTCTTGTCAACAATTTTTCCTATCTAACTGTGATCAGTTGAAAACAGAATTTGACACAAATATATATCTGATGTAAAATCTTTAATGAATAAAATGAACATGATTACAAATTAAGGACAATTTCCCTACAACTGAATGGTTTGATACATCAACTAGTTGATACCTGTAGAACATAATATTGTACCTGTGAATAGCAAGTCTCGACATTGCTATTCAAATAATGTCTAACTCAAATAAATCAAAATTAGAAATATCTTGAAGCAGTGATTTTTGACACAAGAACTATCATAACAAATATAGTAAGGCATCACAAATATTTTTCAGGATATTTCATGTAATCATACATAAATTCTACAAAAATATATCCCCAAGAATATTCATGGTCGCTACTGGTAGTTTGTTTCTGTGCTGTGTTAATAGATATCTCACAATGCCAGGAATTTCAAGATATCAGCTTTATTGTTTGTCACAAAACCAACGTGGTAACATTTGTCATTGGAAACGTTTTCAATCACTCGAAATCATGACTGTATACACATCAACATTGTATTGTAACATGTCTTGTGTAACAGATGATTCCACTGCCAAATTTTGATACCTAAACACAATATAATTATAGGTTGTATACATGGTACATGGAAACTAGAAGACATTAGAGCTAAAATCGTTGTTTACAACCAAACAAGACATGAAAATATACGTTTAAGGAATGGGTCAGTGGTGACAAGTCGCAATACTATCGGGATGAGCTGGAACTGGATCGACTGTACCGTCTGCGTCTTGCAGGTGACCTTGACCTGCTCCGAGACCGTCGTCTTGGTGGTGAACGTCGTCGTGGGGGAGGAGATCTGTTGATGAAAACACAGGTTGATATAGGTTGGTGACACTTCATAGCACTTTGGTGAAACCCATGAGAATAGGTATGGTTCTAACAGAACAACGAAAAAATCTGAATTTATCACATAAGAATGATGGCTAATCTTCACAGCCATTTGCAGCATCCTAGGCCATCTGAAACTCATGCTCCTTTTAACATGTATCGCTTTTGTCCTCAAATAGATTTTAGTAATTTACAAGTTGTGGAATTAATTTTACAGTAACATTTGCTTTTCATCTTGATATATTAGCTGTTCATTTGAATCGTGTAAAGGATCCATGTGTATAGTAGTTTCATCAAAATACACATAACAGTAGAAATTAATCTGAAACCATGACCAGCCTGATTAGAGACAGTATACAGAATACCTTTAACCTTAGATATACAGTTCTACCTCTTGAACCTAGAATGTACCCACCTCCTTCTGTCTCTGTATCTTGGAGGGGACTGCCTCCATCTTGGGGGTGGTCGACGTGGAGGACTACGACGTGGAGGAGGGCGTGGCACTGGTCTTGGTGCCAACACAGCAGCTGCCGTCACCTCTTGTCCATCAATCTGACCTAAAATTGACAGGAGCTTGAATCACTCACTACAAACACAACACCATTAATCTAACCAGGAGTGCTGGTTATCACTCATGATTTGTAGATTGATGATTGGAACTCAGTTATCGTACAATAATCGATTGTAATCACAGACCCAACCATTAAACGATATGGGGATAGAGTAACAACATACATACTAACAGACAGAAACACCTGTCCTTCTTTTGCTTCCGATTACAACTAGGATAGACAACTGAGGTTACTTTTTTCACACACTTATCTTGGCTCATACTGTCTGCTTCTCTCTCCCTTCACTCGAGATACAGTTTAAACACTAGAAAGTGTTTTTATTCCTAAAAACAGATGTCTCCCCCTTCCCCCAGGTCAACGTTGAGTGAAAGTTCATGGTGTTTTATAGTAGTACATGTATATGGTTGATGCTTCTAAGCTTACTACTAATTGGTATTAAGCATACAAATTTCGGTGATGAAGGGTGAAGTGGTTTTAGAGTTATGCTCCAAACACCAAAAAACTACCCTTCAAAAAGACCCAAGTCCAAATTTGTTGCCATTGAAACAGAAAAAAATAAAATTGAAAGAAAAGATCAAACCGACGAAAGGCCCATCTACATGATATGGAGAGGCAGTGGTCAATTAGTTTCAAAATTATGCTCCGGAAACAAACTTGACCCTTCAAAAAGGCCAAGTCCAAATCGTTGCCATGAAAACAGAAAAAAATAAAATAGAAAAAACCCTCAAACCCCAAAAGGCCATATCAACCCAAAGACTGACTGACTGAGTTTGGTTTTACGCCGTTTTTAGCAATATTCCAGCAATATCACGGCAGGGGACACCAGAAATGGGCTTCACTCATTGTACCCATGTGGGGATTCGAACCCGGTCTTCGGCGTGACGAGTCAACGCTTTAACCACTAGACTACCCCCACTGCCCCTCAACCCAAAGAAACTGCCAATCTTCGTGAATCTTGATGAAAAGGGGTACAACCTTCTTTTTGCAACAAAAGAAGTAAATCATAAAGGTGTTGTGGTTTTGTAAGACTTGCATGAAATATGACTTGCTTTACATTACCAGAAGTCTCTAAAGTAAGGCCAGAAATGCTTGGAAAATGCTTTTTGGCTTCAATATCAATATGATGATTTTGACACAAGATAAAAGCACATAATGATACATGTACGACTCTACCTAGTTGGATATTAAAGCTCAGATGAAAAATTGCACTTGAGGGGTGACTTCACAGGAGGAAATTTTGACGTTTTAACAACATTTGTAAATATGTTAAGCAGGGCTGCGCGGTTATAACCGGGTTTACCGGTTCAGACATGAAAACGATCGCATTATGCGATCACGCTGATCGAAAACGGTATTTTGACATGCATTCGGAAAACTTCTTAACACTCAGAAATCTTCAGATATTGCCTTGTTTCATTTGTGCCAAATATTATTTACATTCTTATTTTGTCAGGATTAAAAGTTTTTATTAAAGCTTAATCAAACATGATGATTTTGTTTTGTTTTTGCTTTATAAATCAAGCATTAACTCGAGTATAAGTAGTTTTTTTGTTGAAAAAACTTCTTGCAATATATTGCAATACATATCGCAATATATGCTTTCGCATCGCAATATATTGCAATATGAAAATTCTCTGCAATACCCACCCCTAATGTTAAGTACAAACTGTAGTTTTGAAATACAGACAATAATTATTCATATAGCCTCAACTAATTAAATTACATAAATGATTGTAAAAGGTTTTTTGTTTTTTTTAACATCTATATGTGAAAAAGGTGGAACTCTTGTAGTAGTTATATTCAAAATAATGGGTAACCAATGGGTAAAAAGAAATAAAGTGAAAAAAAATAAATATTCAAAATAATTTCGTAAAAAAGTCTTAATTCAAATTGCATAGATAATCTTGTTCACCCATAGAAGTTTCACTTCGTGTATGAGCATTGAACTGGCAACATGCAACTTGATATCTCTGCTGAACAATTAATTTCAAATTTATACCAGTATTTCATCCTGGAGAAACAAAGGAGGAAACCTCTCGTCAGCTATGACAGGGTTTACTGTAGAATGTGTAAAGCCCTTAATTTGACATATAGTCAGGTTTACAAAGTTGTAAACATTCAGTTACCTCAGGGGTCGTGTCAAAATCAAAACCAGGTAGGAAACACAAACTGGATAGCTTTGATAAGGGCGTCATACGCTGTACAGTTCATAAACTGTATGAATGCAAAATCCCACGGACGTGTGCTAAAATACCAGATGAGATCAAAGATACAATAAATGTCTCGAAAACAACACTTATTGTAGCTCTGGTAGAAATGGGGTTCAGGTACACCAAAAGAGAAGATGACAGAGCTGTGTTTAGAGAAAAGTACTCAATCATGTCCATGCGATCAGCTTATCTCAGAACAGTTGAAGAATAATCGCAATTTGGGGTTCCAAATTATATACCTTGATGAAACCTGGTGTAGTAAAAATCACTCAACCGATCGAATGTGGCTTCATTCAGATTGTTCTAAGGCACCAGTGTTACCATCAGGCAAAGGTAGACGCTTGATCATCTTGCATGCTGGTACCTCTAGCAAGGGACTGATTGGGGGTTTTGACTTTGTTTTTGAGGCCAAGCAATCTGATGGTAATTACAATAGTGAAATGAATGGGCAGATATTTTTGGATTGGTTTGAACATCAGTTTTTACCACAGCTGCACGAACCAAAACGTTATCATTTTAGATAACGCCAGTTACCATAACCTGCGTGTCCCTGGTACTACCACACCCACCATCAGAAATCTCAAGGCTCAGTTGCAGGATTTTCTCACTTCCTGCAACGTGCCTTACAGGCAATCAGAAACAAAGCCCCAGCTCATGAAAAAATCTGGCAGCACAAAAAGCTAATCCAGTACATCACTGACAAACTAGCTGCAAAATAAGGCCACATAGTTCTGCGTACACCAGTACGGCACTGTGAGCTCAATCCCATCGAGCTGATCTGGGGTAACTGTAAGAATTGTATTGCTCGCAATAATACCACATTCACACTTTCACACGTTAAAGAGCTTGTGTATGCTTCGTTTGCGAGAATTACCCCCAGAAGTGTGGCAAAAGGCTGAAGATCGTGTTCTCAAAATCGAGGACGAATACCGTCTGCGGGACGACGTTAACGTCAGCCGAGTTGCACCTGTTGTAATTCCGCTAGAGTCCTTGGCCAGCAGTGATACCGACACTTGATATTTTGAGACGGTCCCTGACATGTACTGCCCGTGCGTTACATAACACTGAGACCCACCTGGCAGGCAGATAGGGTGTTTCTTAGAAGTGTTTCTACCATGGAAGTTTTTCTAAGTTTTTCAATATTTTACGAGTAATCATTATGATTGGGAATGGTACATCGTGATTATTCATATGCCATATTAGGTCGAGGTGGTATGAATGATTATATATGAGTTTTGAATCTGAAATATCAACCATTATCAACTAATTGCCAAAAAGCATTTTCCAAGCATTTCTGGCCTTATTTTAATTCATACATAATCAATATCTTCATCAGTTGTTTTAATCCTCCCCTGACCATTTCCATGATGTTCACATGGCAAAATGTATAATGACATAAAGTGGAAGTGAAAATATGGAATCAGAATTTTGTTTAGTAATGAACTTCCACAATGGTGGGAGAGGAGTGAGTGAGTGAGTGAGTTTAGTTTTACAATCCAGGGATCAACAGCATGAGCATCAATCTGGGCAAATGGGAACCGATGACATGTGTCAACCAAGTCAGTGAGTCTGACCACCCGATCCCGTTAGTCGCCTCTTACGACAAGCATGGGTTGCTGAAGACCAATATTCTAACCCGGACCTTCACAGGTAACGTGGGAGAGGAAGGTGAGCAAGTGAGTGAACAGTATTTCAGTTATGCAGAGGGAAGTGAAACAGGTTTAGGGCATGACGCCCTTGATTCCATGATTAAGAGTCGTGTGCTGACAGACCAAGGATCAATATCAAGGTCTATCTAGGATTTAAACCTATGACCAGCTTACCTTGGTATAGCTAACAGATACATATTTGTCTGACTACTGGGCTACTTATATCCTTTACACATTAAGTAATGACTGTTCTGAGTGGTTCTCTCTTACCTCCATCCATGTATTTGATTGCCTTCTCTGCTTCCTCAGGGCCGTCGTATTCCACATAAGCGAAGCCCCTGTGGTATGGGTGAACTCTCTCAGTCGGCATCTCGATATTCTTGATGGTGCCATACACAGAGAAGATCTCCTGAATGTGTTCCTTGTTCACATTTCGGGTCAGTCGACCAACGTGAACTTTGCATGGCTTGGGAGTGGGGCTACGCTTGCGTTTGCGTGGAGATCTACAATGTTAAATAAAAAATATTTAATATGAACATACCACATTCTACTTGGAAAGAAAAAACCCCATCTGTATTATATATTAAAAATTGAAATGATAAAATAAATGGAATTAGGAAAAGTAACCATATCATAAGAGTTAGGGTGTTGTGTCTTCCTTTTCTGCAACTTCTGATTTTTCCTTTCCTGCTTAACAATAGAAGGTTTGGACAAAACCAGTGCTAGTCGATGAATCAGTAACATCTCTTAGTCTTATCACAAAAACATATATTTGTAATCACAAGATCAGTTATTCAATTCCATCCACTAGATTTACAGATTAGAGATTCAAATATCTCTGAACAATATCATCTAGCATAGCAGGCTGTAAAAAGGTCATTCCTAAATCAGAGAAATTTAATTTCTGACTTTTTTCCTTCCACAGATTGTAAAATGAGAACTGGACATGTCTGTGTTGAGTAGTATATACCCAACAAGAAAAACATTACTGCAACACATGGCTCAAATTCAGTAAACAGTAAGACAGTCAGACTCACGATGATTTGCGTCCCCTGCTGCGACTGCGACTACTACCAGAGCTACTACTTGATGATGACCGGCTTGAGCTAGAACTCCCTGATCGGGAACTGCTTCCTGAGCTGCTGCTGCCAGAGCTGCTGCTTCCTGATGACGATGATGATGAACCTGATCTGCTTCTTGAACCTGAAGAGCTGAAGATAGAGAACATCAAAGGTAACTGAATGTGACTATGAGATGTAACCTGGAAGAGGGGCTCTGGTGATTCACTGAATCAAGTTATTGTGTTACCATATCACAGCACAGTAAGTTCTACTTTTAGGTCACTTATTGACACCAAACAGTGCATATTTAAGTTTTCCTCTTATGTTTAATATTAAGGAAATACCAGATGTAACTAGGGTTGGACATAAAATCAGATACACTGGCTGCTATATTTGTTCAACATGCATGTTGGTTGTAACCTTCACATCCTTATAAAACAGTAACCCTTGAATCATGTATGGTATGTCAATCACATTGTCTGCTGCAGATTTCTGATGATAGTTATCAAAATGAAGTCATTGTGTAAATTATAGAATATCCACATACATCTCATACATGACAACAAAACATAGTCAAGGATAACTTACGAGCTACTTCCACTACTGCTGGATGCTGCTCTCTTCTGTCTATCTCTTCCACGTTCCTTCTTTTCAGTGGCACCTTTCTTCCGCTCTCTACTTCGACTCTGGCTCCTAGCCCTGTCAAACATAAAATAAATGTAGAATGATATATTCTTGGGTAGAGCAGAATCTTATCATCCTTTGAAGTACATCAAAGAGAAAAACATGTTAGAATTTACTCTACAATAGAGCCTTAGACCATAATGTTTACATATCATTTATAGTGCTGGAGTGATCGACTGATCGAATAATTGGTCAATCGATCAATATCCCTTGTGCAAATGATTATCAATGTGCTCAGGAGGCTACGGTATATGACCGCAGATAAGCTGAATTTTGATGAAGAAAAAGCAATCTATACAATGGGGTTGGTTTATCTACAGCCAGGTCACACTTTTGTCAATCTTCTTCTCTGGTGGTAAGAAAAAAACACTATCACTTCTCATGAACGAACTAAAGAAAATGACTTTGTCAGTGAACACGTCAAATTTGCAATTAAACATCATTAGACAAGATTATTTACCGTTTCAGTTAAAATTTGTTTTGGCTAGCAACAAATATGACTTTTTGTGAACAAAATATATATATGTATCCATTTTCAGTCAACTACACTTATTTTCGAGGGGGGAGAGTAGGCACAGCACAGACTGCGATTGCTGTGAATAATGTGACCGATGTTAAAAGAATCGGAGGGACACATGATTTCTACATTCTTTAATCACATTTTGAGTAAAATGAATAAACTAGATTGCAAAGGTAAGTCCAGATATTGCAAAAAACATTTAATACGAGATAGTTTAACAACAGCATTAACTTGTGTAGTTCATTATGGATTTGTTGACACTCTTTTTCCAAAGACTGATCATGACGAGAAGATGAACGAAAGTTAGTGGTTTGGTTTATGTATGGAGTGTAAGGGTCAAATTAAGACCATGGCTTCTCTATGGTAATATACAGTATTCAATATCCAGCACTAGTAATTTATATACAGACAAAGCAAAAACATAAAAAGTAACATTATGCTTCCATGTTGCAATCAACAAGTGAATGTGTATGTGTGGCTTCTAATTGATAATTAACAGTAACATGTCAGCACCACAGATACACATAAAGATTGTAAATCGAACCCAAGTGGTATACTGGGACTCTCTATTATCGCGGGCTCTGTATTATCGCTGCACGCGAAAACATTGGGAAAGCAGACCCACCATGCCCCGCATCGGCTGTTTACATATGCAAATTACGTAAAATATATTCATCGCTCTTGAAAAAGTCATTTATTTTATTGGAATGTCATGTCTAATCGTAGAAATAGTAAAGCATTCATCTTTTCAGTAAGTTTTGGAACATTTTGAAACTAGTATGACCCCTACTGCCATTACATTTAGCAAGAATCAAAACATACTTCATCAAGAGTAATCCAACGACAACTATAAAGGTCATTTGCATATTTTCCGTGCTAAAAATATAACAGGAAGTGACGTATTATGCAACTTCACTCTACACAACGGCAGCAGCACCTTGTATGGTACGTTTTAAAGGCGGAAAAACAATATTTTGTAACGTTATTGTTACCTTGTATCCAAATGAATAGAAGTTTAAGATGTTTGGGTTAAAAACATGATGATATTACTAATGTGAATGAAATTCCTACATAGTTTTTAATGATCAAACTATTTAGATTTGTTACTTGTCTTAGTAAACGTTTCACAGTGTCATCTGCTTGTACCAGCAACATCACGGCATGCCACAGTAAGAAAATAGCAATACCACTGATAATAGAGATTTGCTTCAATTTCCAGGTCAAACGAAGTTAGCGACTATGTGCCACATTATTTGTGACAGAGAACAATCGGAATTTAACTACTGCCTGAAGGGGTTGTTATCGGCAAAGGGTATTAAGCGAGTTATGACTATGTGTCACATTATTTGTGACAGAAATGAGTATACATCAGTCAACTGAAACTATATATAAAATGCTAAATGTCAGTAGCCGTTCATAATCATGATAATCCTGATGGCGACAACATTAACTACCGCGATAATAGAGGGTCCCATGATAATATAGTGCAAACAATTTGATACAAGTGATACTTGCTTTCCAAAGACTAAGTTCATATACCCAAATTTAATCAGTTTACAAGGTTACAGTGTGTACACAGTTCAGAAGTATATTGTGTTATGTTTTGTTGAGACTTGAGAGGGTGAATGGATCGGCAAACTACCAGAACAGGTTTCAGCACACATTGTATGTACAAACGTAGTCATAGACAGACACTAAAATCAAAGACCTTATGTTATCCATAGCTACGTTTTTGCAACAACTTTGCTCTAATATTTCTTTTTCAGAAATGCTCTGGCTTCACGCAGGCTGAAAGTAAAACCACATGCTGGGATGAGGTCAACTTACATCTTGATGATTTTCACTTGCTTACAACAACTATTCGCAACGTGAAGGTACTTAAATATGTAAGAACCTTCCGCGAATGTGGGCTTTCTTCGGCAACAGTCTACTTGTATGTTCAATATAAACTCACATGATCAAAACATATTCCACACGTTTCTGACGACCAGACGCCGACACAACGTAGTGCGATCGTATCGTAAATCTGATTGGATTAAATTTACGACTACACGTCATCAACCAATGACTGCCCTCGATACAAAGCTAATTAACAAAGATGGCCGCGTCCTGTGAAGAGAATCAGAATGCCCCGTGCAGAGAAGAAATGCTCAGAGAACTTAGCTCACAATTCCTAGAAATGGTGCCTGTTCGCAGAATGAAACTTAGGGCGAGTTACATGTTATGTTATTTTAGTTAAGTATGAAATCTGGTAATGACTCAGATATGGCCAGTTACATGACAGCGAATCGTGTGTCTTTCACAGCCAGTGTCTTGAGTTTGGCATTTACCAGGTTGAGGAAACCACCCGATCGGACAATAAAAGGCCGAACGGGATATTATAGGCCGTTCTGCCTATTTTGCTATAGGCCGATCGGGTTATATTTGACCATTATTATTATTATTTCACAAACTATCAATTTCCGCACGAAATGGTTTTATATGATCATACAGATGAATAGTTAATGGACCTCCTCAGCTTGAAAAAATAAGTTTTTGGACCAAATGGAAATTTATATAATGTTCAGGAAAAGATGTTCATTTAAGAACACAATTTTGCACAGATTTTCATTTTGAAAACTGAACTGAATATCTATGTCATTAATTTTCAGTGAAAATTGTCAAAAATATTATAGACAGTTTATATTTAATTAGCTATTTCCAAACTCCTTTATTATGTGATGATAATGCTCAAAAAGGGTTTGAATGAAAATCTTAGGACATCAAAACTTGAATGATGTTAATATCCTCATGCGGAAATGCACCACTCTAAATTTATTTGATAAATATCATAACTAAAGGCCAATCGGTAGGTTTCCCCAACCTGTTTTACATTGTTGTCAGTCAGATGATGATGAAATCAAACTGTTTGTTTAGGAAGTCGCCAGTCACCCCTCCCCTTTCCTAGGTATAGTAAGGAAGAACGATAATTTGACCGGGAATATGTAGATGGAAGTGAAGACACATATATCTCAGCCTGATATAATGTTTAAGGGGAACATGATGGGCTGCGTTGAATGGTCACAATTGACTCACAGATGATCAACTATTAAACTGCAATACAAAATGACATGAGAATGTCAGGATGATGGTTTATATTAGGGTGGACATCATGAGTTAAAGGGTCAGATCTTGAGCAATTCACAGGGACTAATTGCTTGTTGCTTTTGTTACTGTTTTTCCCCATGGGTACCCGGGCGATATCCAAGAATTCTTGACTGATTTGTGACCTCTGCTACATCACCTGTAAGCGCAAGTGATAGCATAAGGGCATATCTTCACACTGATTGATGAAATACAGTTTTGTCTTGGAATTAATTGGGAAATGTAGTTATCCTTTTTTACTGCTAATATTTCAGTTATTTTACAATCTGGCTGAAAATTAGGTCCATCTAGTTTATTATGATAGCAATTCAAAACGTTTCGGAGTTTAATCAATTCTACCAGTAATTAAAAATGTTAGGATTGAAAGAAAACGAAAGTCATGTACGTCTATATATTTTTGGCTTATAATCCTGACATAATTAATCTATATTGTTGGCATGCACTTTGGAACTTCATGAGAATTATATTGGTTGACGTTAACGTAAGCAAACCTCTCTCCTGGACGCTGATACACACAAGTTCTACCATCATTGAACTGTAGAGTAAACCTAGACTCGTCGGAGAAAAGAACTGATGCCCACTGAGCACATTGCCAACGAACATGGCGTCAACAAGAGTCACGTCCTGCCATCCGTCTTGCTGAAGGCGTGGTGGTCGTACTGCTGGTCGCCGTGCCCGAAGATTGTTCCTCCTCAGTCGGTTCCTGACAGTCTGATCAGATACCATGGTACCTGTGGCGGGCTCTCAGTTGGTCACGGAGTTGTCTTGCAGTTACTCTGCGTTGTCGGAGGACCATATTGCTCAGGTATCGGTCTTCTCTAGGAGTTGTTGATGGAGGCCTGCCAGAACGTGGTCGATTATTCAGAGTTGCAGTGACATGAAACCGTTGCCATAACCTTCCTATGACACTCTGACTCACAGCTAGTCTCTGAGCCACACTGCGTTAAGGGTTCATCATCTGGAAGCCAAGCTCGAGCTCTTCCTCTGTCTGTTATGCTCAGTAGACGTCTTGTCATTGTTGAATTTCAAGTGACAATAGCAATGCGACAATTACAAGTTTTATAGGGAAAATAAGCATGCACAGCACTAATCCCACGAAGAACATGTGCAAATGCTGTTCATGATGAAGCATCATCTTCCATAAGCACAGTGGTGGCGCTTCTGTGAAGCACTCGATGTTTCAATTTGTTCATTTTTTAACACCCTACATGATGACTATTGGCACCACGGTTATCTGCAGCCTTTATCCATGTCCTGCAATGGTTTTGAATAAACTACCATACACGGAATGTAACATTTCATTCATGTATAAAGCAACCAGCCTCATCAATAACATTACATAATGACATCGCATGACCCTTAACTTGTTTTTAGTAGTATATATTACATTTGACCACTTTCTAAATGGCATTGTGTAATCATAAACCTAGAATACATAAACACTAACTTTTGACAAATTCTATGTGCAAAATAACAGTGATTAATCAGTCAACATATTAATTTTAATCTGTTGATCAATGTTTTGGGGAACTGGGCTGATAATTCCTGTCTTGCTGCCCTTCCACATGCATATTACAAAACATGTAATATATTTGTCACATCTGACCTGGATTTAAAAGGTTGAGTATTTACCCCAGACACTAGACATGGCAAATGGGAACCCTTGTCAAGTCATCTGAATGGTGTTACCATGCCTGTCATATATTCATTGAGTGAGCATCATGTGAATGATCTCTAATAAAAAAGTGTAGGTTCATACCTCCAACTTGGATGACAACAAGGGAGTAGTAATTGTTGTACTGTATGCAATATTGTTGCCAAAAAACTGAAGATTTGTTGCTGTTTTGTGGATTAGAAGGGAACTTCATTGTTGCATAAATAGTATATACTTCTATTTGCTGTGTACTAAAGTGAAAAATTATATATATTTATCTAAGTGGATTTTCAATTTATAACAATGGTAAAGTTTAGTTTACATCTTTAAATGAATCAGATGTGTCATTTTATTACCATAGGTCAATTAACATGACATATTTGCATAACATAATTAGGGTATATCAAGGTACAAAGCACAGAATTAGGATCATAAGCCATGTTAGTCATCACTCCATCCACACATCACTGCTGGGAAACTTTATTGAAACAAGACTAGATTTGGGTATATTTCCAAATAGCTCACTGATCTTTTTGTCTGCTTAATTTAAGTTGAAGAAATTTATGAACACATGCCCCTGGATATGCATATATAAGTAAAATATTGTCTAAAAGTTAATGTCTGCAGTCCTTGCAGATCAGTTGCATCTGGTGGTAAATTGTCTTACTGCAGCTAGAGACAGAGGTGGCAGTGTTAGATTGCTGAGTTGAAATCATAGTGAAATCATCAGTGCCAAATAGTCTCACTGCAGCTAGAGACCGAGGTGGCAGTGTTAGATTGCTGAGTTGAAATCATAGTGAAGTCATCAGTGCCAAATTGTCTCACTGCAGCTAGACACCGAGGTGGCAGTGTTAGATTGCTGAGTTGAAATCATAGTGAAGTCATCAGTGCCAAATTGTCTCACTGCAGCTCGAGACCGAGGTGGCAGTGTTAGATTGCTGAGTTGAAATCATAGTGAAGTCATCAGTGCCAAATTGTCTCACTGCAGCTCGAGACCGAGGTGGCAGTGTTAGATTGCTGAGTTGAAATCATAGTGAAATCATCAGTGCCAAATAGTCTCACTGCAGCTAGAGACCGAGGTGGCAGTGTTAGATTGCTGAGTTGAAATCATAGTGAAGTCATCAGTGCCAAATTGTCTCACTGCAGCTAGACACCCGGTGGCAGTGTTAGATTGCTGAGTTGAAATCATAGTGAAGTCATCAGTGCCAAATTGTCTCACTGCAGCTCGAGACCCGAGGTGGCAGTGTTAGATTGCTGAGTTGAAATCATAGTGAAGTCATCAGTGCCAAATTGTCTCACTGCAGCTCGAGACCGAGGTGGCAGTGTTAGATTGCTGAGTTGAAATCATAGTGAAGTCATCAGTGCCAAATTGTCTCACTGCAGCTAGACACCGAGGTGGCAGTGTTAGATTGCTGAGTTGAAATCATAGTGAAGTCATCAGTGCCAAATCGTCTCACTGCAGCTAGAGACCGAGGTGGCAGTGTTAGATTGCTGAGTTGAAATCATAGTGAAGTCATCAGTGCCAAATTGAACTTCAACTAATTCATAACAATAATGACTTTGGTGTTCTAATTGTGTTAACTACAAGTAATAAGCTTTGTGCTTCATTGTTGAGTAAACAGCCTTACCAGTTAAAGAACCTTTCCCATCCTTCGCCTAAAACGTAATTATTAAATTGTTGATATGATGAATGAGATTCTTTTTGAAGTAAAATATTATTGAACCTGTGCAATTCTTCTTCTTCTTCTTCTTCTTCAAAAAGACAGTATTGATGTTGTTCAAACCACTTCTGTCATGTAGTGGAGAGAGTATCTGCACACAGAGTTCAGTCCCCTGATGGTGTTATACAAGAAGGACATCGAACGATGGTACTTGTTGTTACCTTGCCGGGTGCTCACATCAGTCATTGCATGGCTCTGTATTAGTGTAATAATCTCAGTTTAATTAAAATCAGGCCTTTATGCTGCTTGCTTCTACACAAAGATGTAAGAAATGCCATTAAAGATCACTAAAGAATTTCTTTTCTCAAACCTTGACTTTCAAGAAGTTGACATGTTCCAACCATGAGGCAGCTTTTTTAAGCTTCACATTAACTGTTTAGAACTCGCGACTTTGATTTCAGACTACAGTACAAAAACTATTTGGCTAAGTGTTTGATTCAAAATTTCAAATCTCAGCAAAAAGAAATTCTGGAATGTCAAACAGATGGCCAAGATTACATGGCAGCACTTTTCATGGATATGGAATGTCATCTGACACATAGTGGTATGATTTCATTTCTTTGATGCAGCGAGCACTAAGATCTAGCTTTCATGAGATCACAGTAATCTTGAATGATGAGTTATGTGAAAACATATTTCACCTCACTGATGCTGCTTACTTTCAGTGTAAAGATATAAGATCTTGCATTGATTGACTAGATTGTAAAAATCTTGAATGTTAACTTTATTACATAATAAATTATCCAACCTTAAATTTAAGAAAATTCAAAACCACTCTAACCTGAACTCATTGTCACTAGTGTGAGACTTTGTTGTCTGAAGCAATCAAATTGAACATTTCAGCAAACTCATAAAGCCTGAAAGAAAACGTACAGGCTCTTGACTTCATTGAATGTACAACTAAAATAATTATTTCAATTGATTCCCTGTAGATGTTGAAACTGAAAGACTGCATTTTCAATGTAAATAGAAAGGAACACATTTTGCGTTACTGGAATATAATATTTTCTTCTGTTAACAGAAAACTAGTGGTTTAGATGTATTTTTAGTTTCCCCATGATGTATAAGCAGTAAGATTTACTGTAAAGGAAGTATCAGGTGGTTCACTGACCCTCCAGGTGAATCTAGTCAACCGTGGGAAGTGACTTTGTAGTCAAATCATTCACATCATTCAAATTGTTTTTGTGGATCAACATCAACACTTTTGTTTAATACATAAACATGTTTGTGAAATTGTGTCACAAGGCATTGCTGAAATAAGAAACACAGTGAAGTTTTCATCACAAGGTGCCTGCAGTATGTTACACTGCCAAACCCAGGTATAGTTCACAATGCCAACTGTAGTCTCAGGAGTCCTAATGGTAGATGTTTGGTTTATTCAGGATGAGTATGCGGACAGTTTGGTGACGTATGCTGAAGGACAGAGACGTATCCTGCAGAGCACCATCCTGCATCCAGTGTGCCGGGTTTACCCTCCATCTCTCAGCTACAGGCGGTACTTCATGAAGCAGCTCATCCACAGGGTCAGTACAATCCCACTCAACATTGGCATCAACCTAGAGCAATACACTGATCTTGTCTCCAACAGAAATCCATAGCTCTCGATTTTAAATGCATTGATCGTATCTGAACGGGACTAGAGAAGTTGTTCCCTACATCAGTTGCTCCACAGGCTACATGGTATTTGGCCCTTTTGGACATTGGTCTGCTTGTGTTTTGGATGAAATACAACAATGCCATTTTTAGAAAGTGATCAAATGTAACATATGTTATATTTGCCACTTTCTTAGTAAAGTATAGACTCTAGTAGGGTGTGGGAGCCCGAATCCCCACACCCTCATAGGGCACCTCAACCCAACAATGTCAGACGCCTAGACCGGCTCAGCCACCACGGCTTCAAACTAGAACAATTTTTTGTGAAAGCCGCGGTGGCTGAGCGGTCTAGGTACTGACTTTGTGTGCTAGCGATTAGGTGCCTGACTCTGAGGGTGTGGGTTCGAATCCCGGATGGGGCTCAACCCAAAAAGTACTAGAATCTGTACTTTTCTAAGAAAGTGTAATCCCAAATATAGCATATGTTACATGTGTTTTGGATGTTTAAAGATGCACTCTGCAATTTCTAGCTACATGATCGCTGCTCTGGCATTGTAATTTACTTGCTGAAGGGGCCTTGATGAACAGGGCTTCAGTGTATATTGTCGAGCTGGTGCTTCTAGTACTGTTTGGCCTTGATGAACAGGGCTTCAACATATGTTGTGGAGCTGGTGCTTCTAGTACTGTTTGGCCTTGATGAACAGGGCTTCAATGTATGTTGTGGAGCTGGTGCTTCTGGTACTGTTTGGCCTTGATGAACAGGGCTTCAATGATAGTTGTCGAGCTGGTCCTTCTAGTACTGTTTGGCCTTGATGAACAGGGCTTCAATGTATGTTGTTGAGCTGGTGCTTCTAGTACTGTTTGGCCTTGATGAACAGGGCTTGAATGTATGTTGTCGAGCTGGTGCTTTGGTTTGGCCTTGATGAACAGGGCTTCAATGTATGTTGTTGAGCTGGTGCTTCTAGTACTGTTTGGCCTTGATGAACAGGGCTTGAATGTATGTTGTCGAGCTAGTGCTTCTAGTACTGTTTGGCCTTGATGAACAGGGCTTCAATGTATGTTGTCGAGCTGGTGCTTCTAGTACTGTTTGGCCTTGATGAACAGGGCTTCAATGATAGTTGTCGAGCTGGTGCTTCTGGTACTGTTTGGCCTTGATGAACAGGGCTTCAATGTATGTTGTTGTAGCTGGTGCTTCTAGTACTGTTTGGCCTTGATGAACAGGGCTTCAATGTATGTTGTCAAGCTGGTCTTCTAGTACTGTTTGGCCTTGATGAACAGGGCTTCAATGAGTTGTCGAGCTGGTGCTTCTGGTACTGTTTGGCCTTGATGAACAGGGCTTCAATGTATGTTGTGGAGCTGGTGCTTCTAGTACTGTTTGGCCTTGATGAACAGGGCTTCAATGTATGTTGTGGAGCTGGTGCTTCTGGTACTGTTTGGCCTTGATGAACAAGGCTATAATGTATGTTGTGGAGCTGGTCCTTCTAGTACTGTCTGGCTTTGATGAATAGGGCTTGAATGTATGTTGTGGAGCTAGTGCTTCTAGTACTGTTTGGCCTTGATGAATAGAGCTTCAATGTATGTTGTCAAGCTGGTGCTTCTAGTACTGTTTGGCCTTGATGAACAGGGTTTCAATGTATGTTGTCGAGTTGGTGCTTCTAGTACTGTTTGGCCTTGATGAACAGGGCTTCAATGTATGTTGTCGAGTTGGTGCTTCTAGTACTGTTTGGCCTTGATGAACAGGGCTTCAGTGTATGTTGTCGAGCTTCGGTGCTTCTAGTACTGTTTGGCCTTGATGAACAGGGCTTCAATGATAGTTGTGCTGCTAGTGGTGCTAATACTGAGGTGTATGTTTGTATGCAGCTGGAGGACTACCCCACGGAGGTGTGTGATGAAGTGTATGAGGCCTACACAGATCTGCTGGGTCAGCAGGAAGAGGAGGATGACACTCTGTGTTACAAGACATACACACTGGTACGTACATTCGCATCAGGATCACCACCTGCTGATGTACAAGAAGTGTCTTTTGTACATTTGCCCAGTTGAATATGGTAGCTTATCAACAGAATACTGGACAAGTGGCATGCTTTTTAATAATTTCCTTCTTTTTGAAATTTCTCAGGGATTTGGTGTTTTGTTCATGAAAAGAGTGAATGGGATATATGTGGGCGATAAATAAGTGAAATGGTCTGATCTGTTTTTCAAAATGTTTTGCATATGTAAGTTGATCTGCTTAAATGATTGTGATATTGGATCGTAATGTCATTGTTACCAGTGATGTCACGGAGACCTGCAAAATTGTGAAGTATTTTACAACATTTCCTTGTAGCAGTACATCTCCCAAACAGTTTCTGCTGTGGATGCCAGTTATGGACGATAAATACATTTCCTAGAAGATGTACTCTCTACTGTTTCAGCCACTGGGTGATCAGATATCTCTACAAGAATCGGTACATCTCGTGTCACAGGGAACAACCGGTCTCAGCACCTGGCAGGTAAGGGGGACAACTGTGTCTGGGTTTGTACTCTCATCTTCAAACCAACACTTTTGTGGTACTAGAATCTGTACTGAGAAAGTGAAATCCAAAATATAGTTTCATTTGATCACTTTCTAAGTGGCATTGTGTATTCATGTCGATATATTGCTGTCAATCATGTCATGTGATATTATAAGTTGTTCACTGGTCACGAGGGGGGCATGGGTTGATGTACCCTCGATGTTTGTTTATGTTCAACAAACAAACAAACAACGTATTTATATTACCGAACATGTTAATTTTACTTTTGAATTGTTGGAAGCACAGGTACAAATCTTTTTGTAGCCATCACTAGATTTTGCTGATAAGAAAAACAGATTTAGAGTTATCTCCCTTCCATTGATTTGCATTCGCAAAACATCAGTAATTTCCGTACATCATACGTGATTCAATGTTATTTGAGGTAAAGAATTACTACCACGAAGTACAAATGAGTTGCCATTGACAGCAGGGTACATTGAAATGTTACTTGCTTGTAAGCGGGGTACATTGAAAATAATAGAAGAGTGCTCAGCCAATCAGAAAGCAACATTTATGTGTGAGGTAAGATAAAGCTCATTGTATTAATTATTTTGCAGGCAGCACAGCATTTGGCTGAATGGGTCTTTGAAAATCAAAATATTTTGCAGAACAGGTATGAAACATTTATAAAAGAAGACAGGATATTCATGTAACAGTTTCATATTCATGTTTCTGTTAAGGCAAACAAACTAAAATGTAAATGAGAAAACTCTTCCTGAAGATACATAGTATATTTTTACCAGGGCCTTTAATTTTTGGTCAAGGTAGTGTGGCTTTCTGTGTCTATGACATTGGCCTTCTTGACTGCTCATTGGCCAGCTGAAAAAAATTATGTTTGTTGTAATCCCCTTTCTACAAAAGTAGAGCTTTGTCTTATCAAAGACTGTACCTCTCTTTCAGGAATGTGTTAGAGCTGGGAAGTGGCTTGGGGTTGACTGGTGTGGCAGTCTGTCGACAGTGTGGCGGCAAGCTCATCAGCTACACCTTCAGTGACTGTCATCCGCAAGTGTTGTATATGTTGGCTAGAAACATTGAACTCAATCTCAATTACAACATTCAAAAATCTGATCCTGGCTCTGACAGGGACAAGAAGATACTCCGAAAAATACGTAGACAACTCAGTCTGAATGCAGAAACAGGCTTATGTGATACTGAGAGACTTGAGAATGAGGCGGTGACCTCCCCCACAAGGTCAGAAGAGGAGACAAATCATAACGAAGACCCTGATGAGATTCACACTGATCTGGAGGACCTGGAACTAAGTCACCGTCACTGGAAGCTGGATGAGACAGGGTTGAGGGGCACTTTGAAGAAAGATGACAGAATTAGGATTGCCAAGCTAGACTGGGAATGTGTCAGTGATAAGCTGCTGGAGAAACTCAAGCCAGATGTTATTTTGGCGGCAGGTGAGTATTCTCTACACGAAAGTATTCACCAGAACAGATAAATAATAATAGAAACCTCTGATCTGTTTGAGCATGTGTGAAAAGTTTTTTCTCTGCCTTCCTGCATCCAATTTTCCCCGGTATAACTAAACTAACAGATCAACAAATGTTTTGTCATCATTATTATGGCTTTTTGTCTTGTCAGTACTTTGCATGTGAACAATTACCATTTGAATACCCTTCCGAATTGCTAATTAAAGTATGTTCTATGTTTGTTCTCTACTTTGTTCCAATATAAACAATGTGAAGGATTTGGTCCACACTGCATTCAGTCTCTAAGCAGTCCAGCTTTAGAACAAGATACTGTCTTGTACATAATTTTACTTGATGCCTTCTTGATTCTATGAATACACAATGCCATTAAGGAAGTGGTCAAATGTAACATGTTATATTTGGGATTCTAAAATCTCATTGTGTATTCATAGCTTTTGGCCTGGGAAACCGTGCCAATTTACACTTATCAGAGGGGTACACAAAGTCCGTGGTCTGGACTACTAGTTGTCCGTCTCCTTTTTTTGTGGAAACCATGGTGGCTGAGCTGGTTAGGCAGCTGACTTTGTGTGCTGGCGATTAGGTGCCTGACTCTGAGAGAGTGGGTTCGAACCCCAGATGGGGCTCAACCCAACAAAAGCACTAGAATCTGTACTTCATTGAGAAAGTGTAAACCCAAATCTAACATATGTTATATTCTTGATTCTAGTCATTACCTTGTGATATTGGCACACAGATATTTACACTGAAAGGCAAAAAGAATGTGATTGACTTTGTAATCTGAAATCTTTGTATTACCACCTGAAATCCAAGCATTTTGATTACATTTCATTTATTAGAAATGGTCAAAACCCTGCTTGAATAAAGTGACTTACTGGCGATTGCATTACAATTGAGAACCTGTGTGGAGAATGTGCGGATTAAGCTACAAGTCTGTTTGTTACATTAAGTTCATCCATCTGTATAATGTTTCCCTGTTGTAGATGTGGTGTTTGATATGAGCATCATCCCAGCTCTGGTGTCGTTACTGCGCCAGCTCCTCACCAGCTCCCCTGACACAGGGCAGGACCCCGTGGCATACATCACCTCCACCGTCAGGAACGAGGACACCCGTGATTGCTTCCTCATTGCCCTAGGTCAGATGAACAAATGTTTTGTGTGTTGTTTAATGCTGGGCTCAGCAACCTTTCAGTTTATGATGGCAGTCTATAGAGAACCAAGTCTTAGTCAGATAGGCCAGTGCTGGCTCTAAATATAAGGAACACATCACTGTTGGGACAGAAACATGCAATCTGCCTTACCACAGACTCTCACTGCTCAACCCATTAAATCACCTTTTACTGTTTCAATTCCAATGTAGTCCTGAATATATTATAGAGTTGTTGCAGCTCATATGGCATATCTGCAATGTCAGGAGCTTGTTGATTGATTGAACAGCTTTTATTTTGCTCTCTGATTTGCATCTCTGCATTCTGTTTTTGTAATGTTTCAATTTCGTATTCATGACAGTTTACACATATATTATCTACTGTTTAATTTATTCAGTTGAAAGGGCGACTCATTGCATCACCAAGATTTGAGTGGTTGCAGACTTGATCGCTATATATGATGCTTGTCGTAAGAGGCGACTAATGGGATCGGGTGGTCAGGCTTGCTGATTTGGTTGACACGTCATCGTATCACATTTGCGTAGATCGGTGCTCATGCTGTTGATCACTGGATTGTGTGGCCCAGACTCGATTATTTACAGACAGCTGAGCTGCCATGTAGCTGGAATGTTGCTGAGTGCAGCGTAAAACTAAACTCACTCACTCTCATATGATATGTTATGTATGAGGATTTGTGTCTTTCATTTACGTCAACCTCTTGTGGTAGGCAGCTTCATAGATTAAATCAATGCCAAACATTAATTGAAACAATTTTGGAACTGAAAAAGACCAATGGTTGTGCAATTAATTAACATGTTATATTGATTACATGCTCTTGAAAACTTTGTGACTGAGTATTTTTTGTTTCTTTTGTAGGAAATGAAGGTCTGGCCTACTCTATAATGGAACCACCCACGGCACATATATTTCATTATGACAGATCAGTCCCTATTGAGATAGTGAAGATATTTGTGCAGTGAAATATCACAGTACCAGCATACTGTGTGGGACCGGGACTGTTTGGAGAGATACTGTGACAATCACATCCCCAGCACCGCTGTTGTCAATGTGGCTTTATCATACACAAGGCTTGGACATAATCACTGGGGGTAGGGGTGGGTGGGTGGGGGTTTAAACTGTAAAGGGAGGGACAAGGGGAGGAAGATTACTCGTCAGGGATAAACTTGCCCAACATATTGCCCCTTTTTCTTCAGACATATATCAATATGACCCATATGCAGTAAAGAAAAGTTTGTCCTTGTCCTTGTTATTGAAATTTAAGACATGATCAGAAATGTTTGTTTCATAATGCTTGTTGTATCTCCATGTGATTAACTAATGGCATCTCTACTGGTTTTAGTCGTTTTTTGCTGAACGTTCCCAGACAGGGAGAACATTCTCAGCGAATTCTTGGTTCTTCATGGTATTCTTCAGTTTACAACCTGAGACATCAACCATTCAAACCATATGTTGAATAATGTTAATTACAAACCCCTAGAAACGATTAACATGTAAATAGTCTGGAGATGTGCTAATAGTCTGTAATATATGATTACATAATTTACTAGTGATTGCTATACATTTTAATAGATTGTAGTGGAAGTGAGTTTTCCAGCAATTGTATGATTCATGTAAATATTTCACTGGGAAAATCATGCTGGCTACTACGGTGTCTGGTTAAATGAAGCAGACATAAAATTCAAGGAAATGTTCTAGTCAAACAGTCGATGAAAGTAAAGTGTTGAAACTTCCGTCTTGATGTGCCAATATTAGAGTTATATATCACCATATATGTCACGTATGTTATATTTGGGATTACACGTTCTCAGTAAAGTACAGATTCTAGTACTTTTGTTGGGTTGAGTCCCATCCGTGATTCGAACCCACACCCTGAGAGTCAGGCACACTAAGTGCCGACACATTGTGTAGTAATGTACAGTGCACTCTGTCTAATTCGGACCAGCTTGGGACCGACTAAAAAGTCCGAATTATACAGAAGTCCGAAGTACACAGATTTTAATGGAGTTATCTCCCTATTATCAGCAGAATTAAAATTATAAACTATTTTTCGCAATGTTATTGAAAACAACGATTCTCGGTCACCTGCTTCGGCAGCGGGTCCACAATAACATTGTCAAAGAGCAAAGTAACGATGTTTCGAGGAATTCATGAAATAAATTGAATAAACTAATGAATGAAATCAACAACAACATTCATAAAAGTTGTCAAACGTACATATAAAATTACTATTTCCATCTGTTTGTGCGATCATGTAATGTAAGTCAAGTCACTGACAAGTGACATCTCGGCTCTCGCCGCCTCAATCTTCACGCTCGGACACGATGTTCAATGCGAAAATATATACATGAAGCATTTTTGTCACAGGTCATAGCCTAGCACGATAAGAGTCGAATATCGTTCCATAATTTACGTATAGGTAGCAATTTCTTACTTAATATGTTCAGAATAGCATTATTTTACCCAAAACTTGTTTATTATGACAACAAAGAAGGATTACGTCGGGACCGTGAGTTCAGTCCTGTTTATACAGCAATCCGAGAAAGACAGAGTCCGAGTTTGACAGAGTGCACTGTATAGTAACATTTCCTATGATATGATAACTTGGGGGCCATGATGTGTAGATTCAACATCAGATAAGGCACCTGTAGGGTCATTGCTCACATTGATCAACAACCACAGAGTTGACCAGACCTGATTATATACAGGCTGCCACTGTACAGCTGGAGTTCTGCAGATTCCCTGGCCTGTTGTGCAGTCAGTGTACATTTTAGACAAGAATGTCAATATGTTGTGTCTGAAGGTATATTGATCATTGATTGTAGGAGTTAAACTAAGGGTGCTAATGCTGGTCATGTGTGATGGTGGTCCCAGTGTGTTATACTGATGAAGTACAAGTATCAATAGTAACCATTCCCAGCTACACTAGTGTGCATGTAGTACTGTTTATCATTCCATGTATTCTGGTCCAGAATATACACTCCCATTGTACTTCCCTTACATCCAGTACAACTCCTCCATCAGTTTGTGGAAGCTATGTCATGGCAGATATTACAAGGAACATAGCACCATGTAGGATGGTGGAGGTGTGATGCAACAGTTCTACTTATTTTGAAGGAATATTGCAGTACTGTATTTCACGTGAAAACAAATAATGCTGGATAGTTACCCTACAATTGTGTATGGTTGCTTCCTGATACTACAGGATGCAGAGGTACAAGACAAAAGGTTGTCCGAGATACCTAATGCTAAACTGATCTTTGGGGAGCAAGGTTTGTGTCAGATGTATGTAGTTTAGAATGGTTCCCTTCTACGCAATTTACTGGGGAATTGGTGATTACGGTGCCACAGTTTGATGTGCAGTGAATGTCCCTTAGGCATGCCCAGACTTGTCCTGGGTGTTGTCCCCCTTTCACACCCAGTGTATTGTCCCAGCTTGTCCATTTAGTTCTCTACCACTTTTTACACAGTGCTGTAACAAGTTTTCCTTGGTGTAGTCTCCCTTTTATTACACAGTATCCTCTGTCACAGCTTTGAAGAAGGGTTTACTGTAGTTGGAGGGTATCAACCCTATCATGGAACAAGTGTAGAACTCACAGATGTGCTTGTGAACATTTAGACTGTATGATGTAATGTGATAGTCCATTTTAACAGATAATCAAAATCATGGGCACTTGCTCTGGGCATTCCCCATTTTAAAGTGAATAGGGGTGAACTTTTATACGCTTTTCTTTGACTATATATGACATATGTTTAATACGTTCCTATATTTATATGTCTTCATATATGCTTGTTTTATAAATGTTATTTTCAACTTTCCTACATCAGTGTCATATTTACATGTACATAGGTTATATATGAACAGCTTTCAGTCTGACTGTATGATTATGATGTTTGTCAAAATATTTCTAGTGTTGATATATGTTTAAACAGTGAAAAAAATACCTTGTTCTCAAACATTGTTACTTTATCAAAACCAGTGCTTACTAGGGATGCCACGATATATCGATGCATCGATACTTTGTCTTAGACGATATAATTATTGATACACGTATATTCAAATCTGTGTCAATATTTAGTTTTGAAAGTACCGGTTTAAATATGTATCATTTACATTTTGCAATTGTTTCATGTGTTTTGATGTTATGATGGTTATAAATGATTATTTTTCATGCACAAAGGTGGGAAATTAGAACTTTTTAATCTTTGAGAATAAAAAAAGTTTATCTATTCATGGACAATTATAAAATATGAAATATTAATGTTCAAAATGTTACTAAATTTACGTAATAATGCTGGAAAATAAGTATGGTGATACGTATCGAATCGTGACATGGGTATTGTGATGCGTATCGATTCATGAAACTGAACAAATGAGATTATAAGAAAATTTCGTCTCTCACAGCCCATATTTATGAAATTTGTTAATACCCTGAGACCTGGAAGAAGAATATTTTCAGAGTTTTTTTATGATCAGTTTGTAAATGTTGAAATGTTAAAGAAACAAGACACTAAAGATGGGCAGCTGTTACAGTGTCTTGTACGTTGGTACAGATAGCATGTTTGTTGAAGTCGACGGGAGTCTTATGTAAATATCACGCAGCTTTACAGCTAGCATTGTGTCTTATACCTCTATTAAGTTGATGTGATACTGGTTATCTCTTGTACAATTATATACACTAACATGTTTCTTGTCATGTGTCTCATTTCTGTGTGAAACTGGGATCTCTACAAAGAAAACAAGTACACTTGTTTCATGGTCGTTGTATCAACTCATTGTCATACTGGATCTCTTCGCTTCCTAGTCATGGGGATGCTAATTAACTGAGTTTGAATTATTCTATGAAATAGTTCAAAATGTTTTGTTTTTTTAAAGAAAGCTTCAAAGTCATTTCCAGGATAGAAAATAGCAATTTGTGAAAAATATAAACCTCTAACAGACAATCTATGTAGCATCCAACATAATTGTAGTTGTTAATTTGAAGTAACCTGAAGAAGGAAAATGTCTAACAGACAATATGGGTAGCATCCAACATAATTGTAGTTGTTAATTTGAAGTAACCTGAAGAAGGAAAATGTCTAACAGACAATCTGGGTAGCATCCAACATAATTGTAGTTGTTAATTTGAAGTAACCTGAAGAAGGAAAATGTCTAAAAGACAATCTATGTAGCATCCAACATAATTGTAGTTGTTAATTTGAAGTAACCTGAAGAAGGAAAATGTCTAACAGATAATCTGTGTAGCATCCAACATACTTGTAGTTGTTAATTTGAAGTAACCTGAAGAAGGGTGGGGTTGCATGGTGTTGTACACTCCTGAGTTACTCAAGATTCTTGATATTGTTTGGTAAGAAGGTAATTGTTGTCACATGCAGGATGTGTATCTGTTGAGTCAGCAGTAATGCCTGATCTCAGCTAATTCCTGGATATCCTGTTTGCTGTACCAGTAACCACACTGATGGGAATGAGAGAGATACATGTGTGAAACATGCAGTGCTTTGCCTTGTTTATTTGTACATTTCTCTTTACATTCCTTCTTTATTTGTATATACCTGTATCTATATGGTGCTCAATATCAGTGCTGCCTTCGTATGTTGTTGTCAGCCAATGCCCCTTTTACACTGATTGCCAAAGAGGCCCTTCTGTTCTCCTTGTAACTACACCAGTTTAACATGTAACTGGACCTTTTTCTCTAGTTTCCCGGTAGGGGATTCTAGTTTAGTACAGGTCCCCTGTTACCAAGCTGGTCGTATGAGGCAACTAAATGGAGACCAAGTGGTAGGGCATGATTGTGTGTGATCATACTCCAACAGTGTGAAGCTTACTCATTAGAGAAAAAACCGGTTTGTCTGACCACCAGTCACTTGTTTACAGGTTGCTGTGGTGTGGGGAGAAGATGGTTAAGTGCAGAATAGGATACAAACAATTGTGGCTGAGAAATGGTTATCAAACTTCATGTGATATATGACTGAGAAGTGGACAGTGCTCCCACCTTGAGAGAATGATGGTGTGAGACAAGGAGTGGTGACAGAGTCTCACCTGCTAAATATCGCCCATGTTGCATGGATGTGATAGCCTCATGTACTGTGGACTTGCTTGTCATGTGAAGATAGAGCTTGATACCACACAAATGTTGGTTATGTAATTAAGATGGCATCCTTGCAAAAATAACACCTTTCATTTGTTCTCCTTGTGTCCCAGTGTTGGAACACACACGTTTATATGTGGATGTTGTCAGTCGACCTGTCAGCTTGTGTACCACAGTGGCTGATGTCTGGATACTTAGAACAGGACTACACCACAAGCCTAGCATGGCCTATCATGCTGACTAGTGATGTGAAATTACCACATTGAATAATATTTGCTTTTAAGTGATTAGAAGACATGTTTTGTGCTCAACATTATTTTGTTGCCAAAAGTGTAGATGTATTTATGTATTGTTGGTGTATAGTGTGTATGAGTTATGAGTACTGGGTTTTGTTGACACGGCCATTGTTGCTGTGTAATTGCATGAGTTTGTGTTGGAATTATGTACAGGTTCTACAATGAAACATTACCAATACTCTTGTATTGTAACATGTCAATGGCAATTTTTATAAAATAAAAGTGATGTCCCAATGTTGTGTTGTCCTATTTTCTGCCAGGATCCACTGATTGTAGGATTTCACGGAAGCTGCCACTATGTATACCGGGAATTCCCGCATTTAGGCCCACACGAAATTTAGCCCATGGGCTTAAATTGGGATTTAATTCTTGGGTGTTTAGAGTGACGTCCCCTTTACAAACGCATGGCGAACCTCGATGTTTTTAACATTAGTAGTGCCTCTGCGAGGTTGTCACGTTTACAGAACATTTTGGACACGGTTACAGGGCAGTTAATAGAGACAGAAATTGATCATCTTAACCCCTATGATGTGCATGCAGTTGCAGTTAAATTGAACCATGTGGTCATTCAATTTTGAATTTATAGACCATAAAGTGGTCATTCAATATTTTTTCGAATTTATAGACCAGTTTCCTGATAAAGAGTTTGAGAAGACCCGATTCTTTTATTTTATCAACATATAGCGCATTTTCGAATTTTAGACCTGGGCTTAAATATGGTTAAAATATTTCAGTGATATTCCGCGGTACATATTGTCCATTTCTTGTTCGTTCCATATGAAACTGATCCGTGAAGATCCGGGTTAAAATTGGTCTTCAACAACCCATGCTTGGCGTAAAATCGACTACCGGGATCGGGTGGTCAGGCTTGCTGACTTGGTTGACACATGTCATTGTATCCCAACTGCATAGACCGATGCTTATGGTGTTGATCACTTGATTGTCTGGTCCCGATTCGATTATTTACAGACCACCGCCATACAGCTTGAATATAGCTGAGTGCGGCGTAAAACTCAACTCACTCACATCTGATGTACTATGATATACTCAAAGAGGAGTCCTGCCGAAGGGTTGGAATCCTCACATAGATACAATGTGTGAAGCCCACTTGTGGTGTCCCCTGACGTCATATTACTGGAATATTGCTAAACACAACATAAAACCATACTTACTCACACAAAAGTGGAATCTGGTGTACAACTACCGTATGCTTATGGAAGGAGATAAGTCTCCTTCATAAAAGTGATTTTCGAAGCAAGCAAAAAAGTTAAAAGTAATAGTCTTTGATATATTATCTGTGGTAATTGCACGAACAAGGGATTTACTGTTACTTTCTAAAATAGGCCAAGGTCGAGTATCCAGGTTGAAAAGTGATCCCCACACAACTTCAGGCCTCCTTTTGACCAATGATGCTATGTGCCACTATGTCAGATGCTTGAGGCAGGAGCATGCCCTTTTATAAATATACAAACGTTTCCTGCACTTTCTCTAACTCTCGGGACCAGATTACCCTGGAGTAATCTGGAATGGGCCTAGAAATGTCCACTCCCTGTTGTCTCCCCGTCTGAATATTGTAACCAGCACATCAATGCCCTCTGCAAGTAGTTCATTTACAACACAGTCTAACAACGTCTACATATTATGATACACCACCAGGTAACAATGTAAACGTACTGTCTGGCTATGAATAATCCAACTCTTCCGGTTTATGTTCGTTTTGGGGAAATCGGGTGTCACGTAAGATCGAACTTGAATTGCCTGTGTGAAGTTTGGCAAAACTAATTGCTTACCAGCCCACATTTTTTCTACGGGCACTAGCATGATAAACGTGTGGTCTCTACCTTGTGTTAGAACTTTTCAAGCTGGATATATTGTGATTTACTTATGGATTATATCATTGGAGGCGAAAAGGCTAACCTAATTTACCGTACAGTTCTCTCTGAACATGACATGACCAATATCAGTTTTCAGATAGCACTAGTTGATTTGTTTTGTCAGTCTTTAACACATACAAATTTGTGACCCCGCCTCACACACCACCCCTCCCTGATGGTGCAGTGTGGGCAGCAATACCTAAACACACACCCAAAACACCGTTGTGAATTCAACGAGAGATATTTGCAATTTAACACTTGTTAAATTTAACATTTGTTTTTTAATTTGTTGTTTAATGCCGCATTGAGCAATACTCCAGTTGATGGCGGCCTTCTAGAACAAGTCAAAACATTGATTACACGACAGTCTCGTTTCCTGTTGACTGGGTTCCGTCCTATTGCGCAGCTTAGTACAAAAACCAGTCCAGAATTTTGAGACCAATTCATTTAACTGGATACATAAATATTAATCAGTATTATTTGATACATCTAAGCACGTGTATATTGCAACACTGCGCTCCTTATAATCCTTGCAAACACGTCGTGTAGCGTGCTCTGTCGTACAGCGAGCACTGACAAACAGAAACCTGGAAATCGTGGAAATCTCAAAACGAGGCTCTGCCGCTAGAAAGGTTTGGCGGTCTGGTACGGACTTGATATTATATCAATCACATTGCGCGTTACAGAACTACACTGAATGACCGCAAAAAAACACATAACAGATGTAACCAGTCAGGTGCATTGTGAATCATTTTACGACCTCATCAAACTGGGGCAGTCTGTGACGTCTTAGTTCAAGTCATGCTGCCTGCACCTCGCCATAAAATGTAGAAATACGACGTTATTAAAGTTTAAAATTAAAGTCCATTTGTACAAACCATTTTCTTATGAAAGAAGGAATTGGAATTCAGTGTAACCATAGTTTTTTGTGATGTCTATTTTCACTTTCACTCGAGAAAATTCGGATCGGCTGAAAAGTAGGTCATTGTCTGAATAGGTTAATGAGACTCATGTTTCGGTTTGATGATAGTCGAGTCGGACAAACGATCCAGTGATCAACATCATGAGCATCGATGTATGTTGTAAAGGGGTACAACAGATGTACGCAACTGGGATACGATGACATGTGTCAACCAAGTCAGCGAGCCTGACCACCCGATCCCGTTAGTCGCCTCTTACGACAAGCATTGGTTCCTGAATACCAATTCTAAACCGGATCTTCACGGGTTCATTTAACACTGTACTTGAATATGAGATTATCAAACTGGATTTTCCGGTCCAACGATCACTTGAATGCCTGTTTCTTTACATCCCGTCGTCCCACGACAGGAGCACTGCTGTGGGTGTCTGTAAATTCTTACCCTTTTAGGCAGTTACGTGAATGGCGAATGTACTGAGTGAGCAGGACATGCACATCCTTTTCGAGAGCACCTAGTGTCATCACTGATTTTCAGTGATCCCTTTGACGGGGGTTTTGTAAACAGTTGCTGCTATTTTCCGTTTACACCAAAATAAATCTGTTTAAGAGGATATTGAGGACCGGGTATTCTGTTGCACATTCTGTGTAGGTGGAACACGCCAAGGGCAGTGTATCAGCCACACCACGTGTAGTCAACGATTAGGAAACAACTTCCTGGCACAACTTACACAACTGCTTTGGTGAGCTCGAAATGGCTGTATTACCAAATGCGGAATTAGAGATTATGTGTGTTGTTGGCAGTAAGCTACACTACAAGTGTTCTATATTCGGCATGCTCGTAGACACAGGCCATTCAAGAAGGACATTTGCTATGATATTCTTCCCAGGGAGCTGAGCTGAGTTATGCAAGTCGTGATTTCGTAATACCTTATAGCTGCGCATGTTGCGTGCGCGCATAGCAGCCCGACTGATGACCTTGGAAATTACCTTTAAAGTTTTAGGTAGTTTTTCTTCAAAGTAATGTACCCCAGACGACAATAAACTCCTCTTTAAAACATATAGAGTGGTTGTCATAAGTAGCGTTAACAGGTTATATCGGGGCACACTGGGTTCAGATTTGGCAGGTCCTGTCTTCTTTATCGAAAGTGCACACCT